AAATTAAAATGTATGACAGTGGTACAGTTTTTCAAAACATGAATGCTAAATAAATAATTCTATCAATGAAGTATTATCCCTTCTTTAATACTGATCGGATAATTTTATGCTGCAATATAACGGTGAGATAAATCGTGTAATTACTAACCTTTGAATACCTACAAAATTTCATACTTGAAGCTCTGGTCAGTAATTCTGAAAATACATTTGGATTTATACTCTTGCTTCTCAAGTGAAACTCTTCAACTTCATACAGTAGAAATTTCTTTATTAGTAAGATTTATAATTCTATAGTACTTCAGTGATCAAACGATTTTAACATGTTATATCTTATAATTAACATCTACAGAAACGTGTACATATACAGTACAGATGAGAGATATATAAAATATGGATGTGCATGTGTAATTCTATTTGAATTAAAATGTCACTCTGAGAAACATGTTATTAGTAAAGTTTAAATATTTATGTATTTTTAAAAATACCTATTATTTTAAGAAAATGATCTTTCAAGAGGTGGAATCGGTAAATAGTATAATATTAAGTTACAATCAAAATACATTCCAAATTAATATATGTATATTGAACACATATTTAAATAAAAAGCAAATGAATTATAGCAAAAAAATTAAATGATAGAAGGTAAAAAATGACAATGTAAGAAGCATGATTTTGATACAGACATCATTATACCTGTCCTGCCTGCTGTGGCCAGATGAGAGGAGTCCACGCACTGTATTGCCTATAGCTGCTCTCTTTTTAACTTCTTTTTCCCGTTCTTTGTACCCACCAGATCCAGTGCTTGTTTGATCCTGGCGAGTGTTTCTATCTCCCTATAATTAATGCATTACTAATAACTAAATGTACATACTATAAAACACATTACAAATATAGATGAAGTTAAAAATACATTAGAAAAATAGTAATTTAAAATATATATGTATATCATAAGTTTACCTTAATGTTTAAAAATTTTATATTTAAATTAGTACTGGTATTTGTTGGAACTGGACTTAAATCACACCTTACTCTTCTGTGTGATTTTTCAACAATTGGTGGATCTTCGTCTAACTCCAATGGATTTCCAATTGGAAAGGAATTACTCTGTGTTAATAAAATATTCTCTGTATTTTGTTTCTGACTGTTGCCAACCGAACTCACTGATTTATTTTCATTGCAACATCTCGGCATTGCACGTAAGCAACTTATAAAAGAGTTCACTTTATAAAATTCTTTTTAAGTGTATCCTATAGATTTTATTTTTCACTTTGATTTGTTTATTAATTTCGTGTGATCATTTAATGTCATATTATTCATCAAGAAACTGATACATAGTATTTTTTCTTTTGCAATTATATTTGTTCTTCAAACTATAAAATACTGAATATATTTATAGCACACAGAGTATAAGATTCTTATGTTCATCACAGATTTTTGCTTTGTTTCATATATATATACTCTGCTATTTCAAATTCTCAGTACCAAAGAAGTTAAATGATTCTGAAATCAGAAAACACATTCAAATCAAACGTCATGCAGAAAATTCCTCTGTATGTACATGGTGCAAAAATTGTTTTAATAGTTTGTTCAACATTATACTTTACAAATTATAAAATACCTACATTCTTATTTAAATAAAAAAAAAAAGTAAGATGTGTTTATTTCACATAAAATTATACAAATTTTTTATTTTATTATAAATATTAATAAACATTTTTTCTGAATACCTGTAGAATAATAAATTTGTGGCTAAAATTCATACATCTTTTTTTAAATATATTTATTATTATATACCATATGTTAAATGTGTAAATAATTACGAACTATCATAGGAAATGCACATCAAAAATTAATTTCCAAGGATAAATAATAAAATAGAAGATGAATAAAAGTACTGAGAATGAAATAAAATTTGATTAGCCAATTATGAATTAATTCATTTTTCACAAAGCGAGAATCGTACGTGAATAATTTTTATAGCATTATTTAATTCCTGTTTTGTAAATGTCTTATATATTGTACAGATTGTGTAAATTTAGTAACATCAATAGTATAATGTTGATCATGTCGACTGCCAATAAATGTTGAAGGCGACCGATCACAGAATTAGTGCTTTAGATATACTCAACATTATACACAGAAATATTGGGTTTTGTCAATAAAATGAAAAAAATAATTTGACGATTTATCTAACAAAAGAATCGCTCGATCGGCAATATTCGGACAAAGGAAATGAAATACAAAAGGAAAAAAATTTACTTCGTTAATATCGCAGTATGTTGTCAAGCATCGTGGAACAGTCACTTGAAAAATGTTGACAGTATATAGCAAGTAGCAGGTCTTACGTATATACTGTGATATACGTATCTCACGGACACACCGTTGCACTGCATGCTGTACACAGGAACGACTGCGTATTACGGGGTGAAGAGGAAGTACCACACACGTATACCGCAAATCAAATAAATGCACACATTCGTACGCGCGCATATAGTCAGGCACCAAGATAATGTGACATCTATCCCAAAAATATCGCGTCAGTGTATATTTTACAGCATGTCCAACGTTAAAAGGTTACCAAAACTATCAATAAATTCAAATCTTTTCATTCTTTACGAACGTCACCGGCTTATCCATGATTTTTGACTGATAAAATAGATTGGGAAGGACCCGCAAGTAGTTGTCATGCGGAGATGCGTGAACAACAATACCTACTTAGTGTCGCACTTTCGTGCGATAATGTAAGGTATCTGTTCGGTTATCAATAGTTTCATTACCTCCGATATAGACCCGGTCATATTAGCTTCGCGATGCACTGACAAACAGCACTCGTAATTCCGTAGTCAGCCGGTACTCACATTTGTGTTGCAGAAAATCGCCCGACTACACCCAAATAACCACCATTTTTTTTCACTGAATAAGGCGCACTCTTGTGGTGCTATGTGTTAACAATGATCAAGTTATGAATTAATGCTGCATTCACATGAAGCGCGATATTTATCATTAGATGGTTCATTGAAAATCATTTTTTAATGATTTTATAGTTTCAAGTTATAAAAGGTATGTATTAAAATCTATTTTCAATTCATTATTTTGTATATACATAAATATATATATTTGTATATGCAATTTTAGCTTACACGCCTACATACATAGAAACGCATTGAAAAGTTTCTCTGTTATCATTACTTGGTGGCATTTGGATCGCATTTGGTTCTTTGATGCAATACACTTTCAAATCTATATTCTCTGTAAAACATATTGTACTTACTTGATAGTCTGTAATAGGCTACGGACATGGATAAGTGTGCATTGTAGCATTATGTAGATACGATCAGAAAAACAATCTAAAGTTAATAGTGTTCTTTGTGTTTACATAACGATATCACAGAAAAATGACTCGTACAGTGTCATCGAATTTTTAGGAATTAATGAAACTGAAAAAGCGGAAGAGTCTGTGCGCGCAGTGCGTGAATATGCCCGCCAAGGTCTCAAAGAAGGTCGTGGGCATGATCGTACGAAGCCGAAAATTCATTATTAAGGATGGTGTCATTACGGTACTAAAACACATTCAGTTTAATATCTATTAGATTTTTAAGTTACCTCTTGATCCTTTTATATATACGCGTTTTCTCTAATTTCATATATTGAACGTAAGTATGAATTTTCGTTCGGAGCATGATAAGTCTAATGACGTTATTTTCTATTTATCTTGTATGTAGTAATGCGGTATTAATCAGTCAAAATGCAAACCTTTCCATATTACATACATGCAATACCTATTTCTTTCACTTACCTTTGAGATCATTTATAAACAATGGAAACATGTGTGAGTTTTAGCGTGATTACATTGTAATAATAGCATTGACACATGGCTGAATCTTTGTTCATTTTCATACAACATGTATTAGTACTATTTATTTTTATGTAGACAATTGTATTGTACAAATAAAATATTTTCCATGGAATATTTTCGATCTTCTGATAGTACAACCAATTAACTTCGTATACTTTCATTTCAACTTTGTATTTCTTGTGATTCTTTAAGTTACAGATACAAGATGCTCATTGTAACAAATTGTGTTAACATTTAAGCATAATTCATATTAAATTTGTACCTATGTATTCCTAATACTTTATAATTAATTTAATATTTAGATCTGCAACCAGCTTCTTTAGTTTCATTTTGTTTCTGAAAGCAATTGATAATGCGTTTAAGCATAAAATATAAAATAGCTGATATTTAGAAAAATTAAAATAGAGAATGTTGGCTTTCAATTATATCAGTTTCATTTGTTTTTTGTAATTAATTCAAAGCATGTTAGAAGCATATATTACTCTACATATAGAAAAGGAATATAAATTAAAACTAAAGAGTTAAAAATATATCTTTGAAAACGATATAATAACATAAAACTTGATTGAAATTGAAAATCAACTTAAACTTGTGCATATTTCAATTACAAATATATGAAAAATATTAATACTATAAGTATAATAACAATTATTAGATTAATAACGAGCTTTAAAATATTGAAAGCATTCAACTGAACTTTGTCATTATGATTATCTCTTATCTGGAAAAATATGAGCTGTACACGTGTAAGAATACATACATATATTTTTTTACCTCGTTCATCAAAATGTTTCGGACTTTATTGGCATAACATATTGGCATATTAGTACTTTTTTATTACAGTAATATTGTATATGTGTATAGATCCTTCGAATAATACCGTACTTGCGCATATTGATCAGATGCCAACAACGTGTAGTTGATAAGAAACAAGCATTCTGATTACCGAATGAATAATGAAGCATAAATTTGATATTTCTCAGTGTGTCAGAATCATTACGTTAAAATGAATCATTATAGACAAACAATGAACAAAATGATTTATGTTGTTACTAGGTTTTTTTAGGTTAGATTCCTATCAAAGTTATGATGAAACAACTATAGTTTATATGGAAAAAGTGGGAGGGGGGGTTTGGTGTTAGAGTTGCAATGCAGTGATTCGGATTTTCGTTTAAAAATTTCTTGTAATTCTGGCGAATAGGACGAAAGTATGGATTTTAAAATTGATAAAAGTGACGAATAAATATGTGCTTTTTGAAAATTATAACAAACAGGTGTTGACAATAAGTTATGACAGCGAGAAATGTAAAAAACGAGACAAATCACTCCACCCGATATCATTTTTGCTACCGATCGCATCACATTTTTAATATAACGCCTTGACGCACGAATTTTACAAAGAATTTCAAAAACCATTTCTTGTGATCGTATACAAGACACACATGACATTACGCTAAAATAATATTTTTTATAAAATTCTGCTACTCGAATCTCTTCATAAAATTGCTGGCAAAGACAACAAGTAGAATAATGTTCGACAGGAGTGTAACGATTATCGTTGAGAAAGGAAAATTATTGAATGAGAAGTATTCAAATGACACTACATAAAAGAAGAAAACGAATTCTTCAAGTTTTTTAAGCCTGAAATTGTTGATAATGTAGTGCTTTGTAAACACAAGGTGTCTTTGAAAGTTACAAGAATTACAGTATGCAATGAAGACTTTAGACTGTTCTAAAAGTCTATATACATGACAGAAAAGTATATTTTTAAGATGATCATGTCTACATATTTTGTTTGGTAGTAATGATTATAGCGCAAACTCTTTTGTACTTATATTGCTGAGAAATGTAAAAAGGAAGACATAGAAGGCAGCTGTATTTTGTTTCAATGAGAAAAGAGATGCGAAAAAAAGTAATTACTATAAGAAAAATTTGTAAAGTTATTCAAATATAATGGTACTTACATGGTGACATGGTACCATATTTACTAAATAAGTTAGTCAATTTTTCTATAGTGCTGAATATTTTTTGTATTCACAAATTGTATTTCACAAACTTTATCTAATATCCGATATTTTGATAATGCACAAATGACAAAGGATTAATATTACAGCAATAAAAAGGAAGCTTGTTGCAATTACTAATTCAGTTATATGTATGTAGTTGAAAATATTATACTCTATACAAATTATATTTCATTAGACAAATTGATATGCAAGATACAATGAGAAATAGACACAGATGTAAAGCTTAAATATATTGAGAGAACATATTTATCAAAAGCAAAAGAGACATAGAGCTTTTGAAATTGGAGTTACTACATAAATATAATTAATAAAGTACAGTAATGTAACAAATAACTATTAATGAAGATTAGATTGAACATTTGAAAATGTGCAATTGACATAATGCTAAGTCAAGGTTATTCGTTACAGTATTATATGGATCTGAACAACTGATAAATTGATAGAATCATAAATATGGAAAGAAATATATATAGTAGCACTTCTTAGGGGTCATGCCCCCTGGGGCAACAGGGGGAGCAGAGGGCCTGGGCCCTTCCTGTTCTGAAATTCACAACAGCCAAGAACATGCTATTGCTAAACTCACACCTCCTCTTACATTTGCTCAGCAATGCTACAGGCATCTTAAGGTCAGCTGTCACAATTTGCAAAGCGCTTATAGTTATTGATAAATTGAGAAAATGTTATAGTACATAAAATTATCTTCCTTTGTTTCATATTTGTTGGGTTTAACAGATAGATATCATGGCTGCTTATGAAATGTATTAGCAGTTCAAATTGGATAAATTTATATGATTCTTTGTTTTTCTTTTACAGAGTTCCGGTATCGGCGAGGCAAGTGTGTACCATGCTCTGGTTGTAATATTTTTGGAATTTTTTGCATGGGGTTTATTAACCATGCCTGTTATCTCTGTATTAAATATTACATTTCCAAATCATACGTTCCTGATGAATGGTTTGATAATGGGTATTAAAGGAATCTTGTCGTTTCTTTCCGCACCATTGATCGGTGCTTTGTCTGATGTGTGGGGTCGAAAATTCTTTCTCCTTATCACTGTAGCCTTCACATGTGCGCCAATTCCTTTAATGAGCATTAACACATGGTGGTTCTTTGCGATGATCTCCATCAGTGGTGTATTTGCTTGCACATTTTCAGTGGTGTTTGCATATGTTGCCGATGTTACCGAAGAACATCAAAGATCTGCAGCATATGGTATGGTAAGTATATTATCATTAGATGTATGGAAACAAGATATTGAAGGAAGAGTATTTAATTCTGAAATATTTATTTTGTCAGGTTTCAGCAACTTTTGCTGCAAGTATGGTAATAAGTCCAGCATTAGGAGATTACATCATGAAATTGTATGGAGAAAATCTTGTAGTTGCATTAGCGTCTGCTATTGCGGTGCTGGATGTGTTTTTTATATTAGTGGCTGTACCTGAAAGTTTGCCTGAAAAAGCTCGTCCACCAGCACCTATATCTTGGGAACAGGCAGATCCTTTTGCTTATCTTGGGAAGGTAACCAAATTTGTTATGTTACATATAAAGAGAATGTATTTGAAATCCATCCAAATTAGCTGGTTTATCTCTTAAAATAGATAGACTCATTGATTATCAGAATTCTTGTGTTCTATTTTAAAACTGTGGCAGAAAATTCACTTTTATATAAAATATGTAAACGTTAATTATAGAATATTAAATGTTTTAGGTTGGCAAAGATCATACTATCTTAATGTTGTGTATTACTGTGTTCCTGAGCTATCTTCCTGAAGCAGGACAGTATAGTTGTATATTTGTCTATTTGACTAAAGTTATGGGATTTACTGCTTTGATGGTAGCAATTTTTATTGCTGTAGTAGGAATTTTAAGTGTTGGAGCTCAAAGTGTTTTGGGTCCTTTGATACGGACACTTGGCAGTAAACATACTATAATGTTAGGTCTCTTATTTGAAATGTTACAACTTATGTGGTTTGGCTTCGGTTCGCAAACGTGGTAATGTTATTATTTCTTTTCTGATCCAAAGAAATAACAAATTATATCTTATTAAATTATTATTTATAATTTCAAGGATGATGTGGGCAGCTGGAGTGCTTGCTTCTGTGTCAAGTATTACATATCCTGCAATATCTGCATTCATATCCATGCATTCTGATGCTGATAAGCAGGGCTTGGTGCAAGGCATGGTAACTGGAATGCGTGGATTATGCAATGGTCTTGGACCAGCTATGTTTGGAGTAATATTTTATCTCTTTCGTGTTGATCTCAACGATAATTCACCTTCCCTTCCCGCAAAGCCATCTCCTTTAGATGAAAATAATAAAACAGGAACTGCCACGCAACATCTTGACATCATGCCACAAATAGTTACCCAGGTAAGTTGAATTATAAGATAAATATTTTTGAAATTAAAAATTTGTATATAAATGTATGTGAGATGTACCATTTTTTTTTAGCTTGTACCAGGACCACCATTTGTGTTTGGTGCATTACTTGTGATATGTGCATTACTAGTAGCTGCATTTATACCAGAATCAAACACAATGCCAACAGGTCCATTGCATCATCCAACCACCTCCCGGAGGCCCTCCGGTAAATACGCATATCAGAAATGTACGTTAAAGGTTGCTAGTTATATTAAAATTCAGATGTATTTTCGGTGGTGGGTTTTATTTTAATCTATTACCTGAAACAGAATTACTGCATGTAAATTTCTTAAGAAATAATCATTTTAATTATTTATATAAAATACATCTATGTTTTATATAACATATATATAATTTAATTAAAATTTAATTATTATATGTTACACACATATGCTAAGCACGCACACACGTACTCACGCATACGCTTTATATTAAATGTAACTACAATTTAAGGTTTATCCTTGGATGTACATTATGAAGGAGACAAATTGGGAAGTGGAAAAGGAAAAATAGGACCGTTATCACCTCTAGTCGATAATTGCAACTCTGCTGCTCTATAGCTATTATGAAAAATTAAGACAAGCCACAGTAAATAAAGAGGGTCACGTATCCTTACCCAGTGATGAAACTCTATAGTTAAAAGAAACGGTTACTATCAAGTGCACATTTACAAGGACATTAAGTGAACTGTCTATACTGTAGTATATTATGTCTTTAAGTCAATATTTGAAGTTGATCTAGGATTATCAATTTAGTTTAATATCTAGATTATGAGACACGTTTTTACGAACAGTGCTTGTTCCTTGATATTTCGGTTGAACTATAATTATTGAATTTAATTTGTTTAGAGTGTTTTGTTATATAAAGAAATGAAATTCTTAAAAATTATCTTGTACTGAATCAAGCACTGGATATTTTAAATTATTTATCAGTGACTCCTGGTTTGTGTAGCTTGCCAGTAATGTAAAAGAGTGAAACGAATGAAAGTTATAACCAGTATTTTTACTAGACTTATTACAAACGAACTAATGAATTCTTTTTCTTTTATCATGTATGTCACCTATCGCTTAGTAGAATCGCGCAAAAGCACTTGTTATTTTGACCACTCATATCTTAGAACTTTAAATTAGGATATTTTCTATGATATTTTTGTGAATTGTCTCATACGAAAAAAAAATTTTATTTATTTGTCAATATATTTTGTTTCATTTTTCATGCATTCCTTTGTTTTAAATATACCTTTAAATTAGAGAGAAGAATACAAAAGAAGAGTGTAATAATTGCAAAAGAATGAACAAAGACGTTGTAAATGAACTTTGCATAACTAGAATAGAAAATAAGTTTCCATTGATATATAATACTTAGTAAGAATTAGCTGTTGTTTGTAAAGTACATTAACTATTTTCCTTTTTTTTTTTTTCCATAAAATATTTATTTTAATAATTAGATGTCAACAGAATGAATGCAATGGCCTTACTCAGAAAGAACACAATTTATATGAAATTATTCTTTGCCATTTAAAGGCAGTGGTAAATTCTGACCCAGAATGTTATCAATATTATTGATTGAACGCTTATACCGTGTCCTCCCCACAAATGTTAAAATGTGCATGTTATAAATTGGAGTCATTGATGTTAAGAAGATACAACAATAGTGTAGTGTGTTCGTGCATTTTACTTGTATTTTGAAAGAGTTAGCGCCCGCAGAACTGTATGTGCATTGCCATAGCCTAATGACTATTTGAATTTGAAATCTGCTAAATTATTTGGGAATCAGTTCTGTTAGAATCACTGCACATTGCTAACAATTATTTTACACAAGTATATACAATCATTTTTTGTCAACGTACATGAAATTATTATCGTCATTTGTTACGAAATAATTAAGAGACAAAAGAGGATGCTCAAATCCAATTAAAAAAAAAAAGAAAACCAAAGAATGAATAGTAGCAGAAATTCTATTCAAAAGTTGTAATATTAGGAAGTAATAGAAACCCATGAAACATGGTGCAATGCGTGAGCAAGAAATAAAAATTTTGTATGATCTCACATTTTCTCCAAGAATCTTAATATTTTTTTAAATTACAAGAAATGTATATAAATCACTGCATATTGTTTCATTTATAAAGACTAAAAAAGTTTGTAATCTATTATTACTATTCCATTGTTTGGAATTACTCTGATATAATAAGTGCTATGCATATCGAAATTTAATATTATTTTCATATTATCGTTAAGGTAAATTGTGGAATGAAATTCCGCTACAATTGCACAATGTAGAAGTATATAACAGGATTATTTTATTACGATAAATAATGCAATATGAATCTTCGGAGATCTATTGTTTATATCAGATTTCTTGGAGAATACTGATGTAAATTGTAACGATTTTATGTTTCCTGCTTGATTTGAGAAAACTTGCTCTTATACATTAAAGTACATCAACACTGTTGTAATATATTATTGCAAAGAAAGAAAACAACTGAAAAATCACAATATTAAAAATAAAGTCCAGTTTAAGACTTAACATAAAGTAAGTAATTGTATATGTACAATGTATGAAAGATACATTAATAAATAATTATTTTTAAAATACAAGTTATGTTTTAAAAATGGATCCTTACCTTTTATAAAAAATTATATCTCGTAACACAACCACAAAATTCATTAAAATATAAAAATTTTTATGAATTTTCAACATCTATTTGAAGATCTTTTATTTAAATTGTGTTTAATAATTTAATTACAGATTATAGCACAGTGGTTACAATCAGAATTGTTTCCTGCTAAGTATGGTAATTTTTAAACAATCTATGAAATTGTTGTTAATGTTGAACCACTTTGTTGCCAAGATTCAATTGCTTTGTTGACAATTACTTCTGAAGTTTCTTCTGTTATCTAGAATACAAATATTTATACAAAATTGATTGCTTAATTCGTTTCGCAAGTACAACCAAATATAAATAGATATTTTCGTACATTAGAAATAGTGTTTAGGATACCATCTATGTTCTCACATCTCAATAAAAGTCGTCTTAAAGTTGTGAGAGTTACTACAGTGACAAAGATTAAAATTCTATATGCTCCCACAGCTATTTTATCCCAAATTCTAGAAGTAAATGCATAAATAATACATAATCATTTCATTTCTTTGTATTCATATTAATACACGTACTTTGCTATAGAACCATCAGATATTGTTCCTGCAAAACATGAACAAAACCAAAGATCATATGGAATATTATGAAGTGCTTCAATTTTGACAAGATGTTTGTACAGTTCTGGATCTTCTCTTTCCAACAATGTACAAGTACATTCTTGTAATCTGCTCACTTCCTTCTGAAATTTTTGTACTTGATCTAAGAGTCCACATAATATCCAATATGTGTCTACAAGCTTTTCCTCTGGAGAATCAATGTCAACAATGTGCCATAAAGTTTCAGCCATTCTACACATAGCTCTAAAATGAATATCACAGTTGAAAAATACAATGATCCAATAAATTATATTACATAGGATTTTGAAATAAAGTGAGACCTATGTAAAGGCATTTCTAATTGAGTATTTAAATCAAGCTTTGCTCTCCTAGTACGCAATAACCACATAGTTAGAAACATTAAATAAGGTTTTGTGCAATCATCCAAAATCTTGGTAACTTTTAATGCCTTCTGCAGGTCCTGAAATTCAGCTTTTCTTTGATTCATTATAAATTTATGACTGTCTACATAAACTGGTATCACATCCAGTAATATTTTCCATAGAAAATTTCTATATATAACAGGGACAGTAAATCGTAAGCAAAATTGTTTCAGTTTTGCTTTATCAAAAGGACGTTCTTTAAGTAGTATTTCCAAAGATTTTTTCTCTTCGACACTACGAAATCCCACCTGTTAAATCATATAATTATTCAGTGTTATTCATAAAATTCGTTTTTTGGTTATGTTACATACATTAAAATAAATTTGGATCTAAAAGTGTTTACCTTTTCGTAATAAGATGAACGAAAATTACGTTCATCGGTCATTTTTAATTGCCAAACGTTTTAAACTTCTGGTGTAATTATTTGGAACTGTTTTATCATATTCGGGTTGAGAATTACTGGCGAGCGGTTAATCATAAGATGCTTTCATGTCTTTTCCTTGAATCTGACAAAATTAATATTCTAATAAAAAATAACACCTTTTAATAATGTTATATATAATGTATGAATGCATTAAAAAACATTTATTACATATTCAATAAAATAGATATTTCGTTCTTACTTATTATTCTAAATTATAAAATATTTTTTATATAATTTTATTTTTTGATAAGTATATATATACATAGTAATTATCGTTCTCCAGCGACGTGTTCTGGAATAATTTTTGCTACTTTCCTAAATTCCTTACGCAACGTTTTAGGACACTGCATTTGTGTCCAGCTTATAGGTATCATGGCTACACCTGTAAAATAATAGTTATTAGCACTGGAAACAAATTATAATGTAAATTACTGACCTTCTTCACTGTGTGCTATAACTACACCTAATTCATTTTCTGCTGTACTTAATTGATAAGTATGTGCTTCTGTCATTGGCATCTAACAACTCTGTATTGGAAATTATATCTTACACAAGATAATATGTTTGTACCAAAATAGACAGAAAATTATGAAAGGATACAACTCTTGCAAGAATAATATCCCCAGGTCTGAAAGACTTGTACATTTGAATATTGCTCTTATCTAATGCACGTACATCTTCTTTTCTTAGAATCCCTCTGTAAGGTCTTGTCAATACAATATCACCTATGCATTTTATACTACATTTACAAAATCTCTGATTAACAACTGTAACCATAGCAGTTACAATGTCACCTGGAGCAGGAACAGTGCTCTGTTCTGTTATTCCATGAACTTCTATAGTCCTAGTCTGAAATATAACATTAGTTATATAACTAATTGTTCTATAATAATATTTTTAATAATCTTAGTTTGTAATATATTTTCATACATTTTCCTCTTGTATTAGTTTAACTATGCCTGCAAGTTTAGAGTAAATATAACCTTGTTGTTCATATGTCCCAGAGCCAGCTATGTTAACCTTATCAGAGACACATAATCTTTGACCTAATGAAAGAGAAGAAATAAAGCTTATTTTTGACTTTAATGTCAAGTTATTTCATTCATAATAAATTTACCTGGTACACAAACAATAATATCTTCTCCCATCTCCCCTAATCTATTTTAATTGGAAACTGGAATTAAAATATCTCAATGATTTCAATACACTGAAATTTACTGATTAAATAGATTTGAATGATTCTATATTAGAAGTACATTTATCGACACAGAAAATTAAACATAACATTTTTAAATTTTTATCACGTTTATCAGATGAGTACTTTTTGGCGCTAACCGTTGTGCTCCTCTCCCTTTATTATTACCGGCCATATTTGCCTTATTTTTGGCTGCGGTGGTGTGAAATATGGAAAGTGAGTCAAAATCAATGACAAATACGGAGGACGACGAATTCGAAGAAAAAGAATTTACCGCTCAAGGTGTTTTATTGGCGATAGAAAAAGCCTGGTTGAATGAGAAATTTGCACCTGAGATTTTACCTCATCAGTCTGAGTTAGTTGACTGTATGTTGCAACAAATCACCCACATGGAGGAAAACATGAAGAGGTTAGAGAAAGGGGACCTAAGATTAATGATTCACATGATGGAGTTAGACAGGATTAGATTTTTGGTATCTAGCTACCTTAGGACACGATTAGAAAAAATTGAAAAATATGTTATTCACATACTTTCCCAAGAAGCTGATAGATCTTTGGATGATTGTTATCTAACTTCTGCGGAGCTTCAGTTTGCAAAAGACTATCTTGCAAGCATTGAAACACTTTTTAAAGCCACTGCTTTGAGTCACATGCCTGGAAATTTTCAAGGATTTGAAAAGGAGCAATTAATTGTGAAACCTAATATGCATGCATACATATTTTTACAGGCTAATGATAGAATTAATGGAGTTGTACTACCTGGATCATTAGATGAAGAAATAAATTTTGAACCAGGTTCTGCACACATTGTACCATATAAAGCTGTTGCAGATTTAGTTAAAAGTGGAGCTGTTCAATTAATATGATTTTTTGCATATATTAATATTTCACAAGGAATATTTTTATAACAGAAATCAAACAAACTCACATTTTTTATAAAAACAGTGGTCAATAAAGTTTGTTAAATGAAATATATAAGACTGATACTTTTCTAGGAGATATTTATATAAAATTAGATTATTAAAAATAAATTATAATAGAAGTTTAGGAAGATTTTTAAGTACTATTATTAAAAAAGAAGCTAAATAATCATATATTACATTTATACAATATTTAATATAATAATCTTTTTGAACATTGTACAATATTGTTTATAAAATCATGTGTGTTGGAACATTAAAGCAGAATATACAAAATATGTTTTGTGATACACAATGTTCAAAGAATATCAAAATATTACTATATAAGGTACAATAATCTTTAACATTTGATTCTTTGCAAATGGACTAATGTTGACATAAAAAAAATATTTCATGCTATTTATATTACTGTCACTATGTCATGTTGTATAATAAATCTATATTGATTTAATAGGAACAATGTTGGTAAGTGTCAAAGTTACATGAGATCTAAGCTCATATGTTAAGATTTTCAAAAAACATTATAAAATTAAGTATCTGATTTTACAATGATTCTACCTACATTCTAAAGATTATTTTAAAGTATGTAATTACAAACATACGTGTACACTGCCTTTTAAAATAATTAAATAAGTACATAAAAAAGTACGAACGTTGCATGATTTTCTAATATTCTACAAACCTTTATAAGCATATATTTATGCTTCTTTAATCATCTTTAAAAATCGTATTACCATTGATGGTTGGTGACGGTAATTGCGGTTCTGTATTGTTGGAAACGTTATTGTAAGCCTAAAACATAATAACGATTTGTGAAATTACAATGAATTTTTTGCAAGCATAGCAATCACGAGTAAAAGAAAATTGAATATACCTCTTTTGCAATATTTTTAAGCTGTTCAGACATTGTTCTTCCAGTTTCTTTGACCATGCTGGTGAAATGACCTGATTCATTTTTAAGTAAAATATATGGATGATCAAATTCAACTGCTTGTCCATGATCCATAACTAATACTGTGTCGCTATCCATTATCGTGTTCAATCTATGTGCTATAGTTAATACTGTGCAATTCTTGAACTTTTGCCGTATAGTCCTTTGTATTAAAGCATCTGTCGATGGATCTACGTTAGCCGTAGCCTCATCGAGGAGAAGAATTTTATTATTTCTTAAAATTGCACGTGCTAGACAAATCAATTGTCTTTGTCCTACACTAAAGTTAACTCCTCCTTGGTCAACGAAATAATCCAGGGAGGAAATTGATGACTTTAGTTCTACATCATCGAGCGCAGCCCAAATAGTAGCATCATCGAAATTATGAAATGGATCGAGATTATCTCGAAGTGTTGCTGAAAATAAAATAGGTTCTTGCGGGATAATAGAGATTTTCTTTCGCAATTCATGAAGACCTATTTCTTTTGTATCCAAATTATCTATGTAAATAGAACCCTCCAGTTTCGCTAAACGAAACAAAGCTGATATTAAAGAGGTCTTACCAGCACCGGTACGACCAACTATTCCTATCTAAAAAAAAAAAAAACATTTGTCAATTAATATCAGCATTTGACATGTTTATTATGCGAAGAAGTAATGAAAAATTACCTTTTCACTCGGTTTTATAACAAAACATAAGTCTTTGAGAACCGGGGGCATTGAATCTTCATAACGTAAATACACATGATCAAAAATAATTCCTCCATCAAAAGGCCACTGTGCGGACGGTTTCTTGTTTGGTTCATTTTCAAATGGTCCCTCTTTTTCGAGTTGTGTAAATTGTAAAATTCGTTCTACGCTAGTCATTTGTGCAATTGTTTCAGCGGTTTGACGCATTCCATGTTGAAGCATTCCACATAGAATTAACACTTGTGATAAGGCTAGACCCACGTTTCCGGCGAATGTATTTTCTAAAGATATTCATATATACATATGTATATCAATTATACAAAGTGATTCATGCTACTGACGTTATCAGATAATAAATTACCATTGTCAAATATGATGAAGCTATACGTAATGAAAGCAATAAAACAAATAGAGACCATATCTAATGCAAATCCAAAAGCAACACCTGTTACTAGAGTTAAATAATAGGCACTAGTATGAAGATCTTGATGGACATCGAACTCTTTAGAAACCATGTCTTGCGCACCAGCAGAACGAATTGTCGTCAGCCCCAGTAACGAGGAGCTTACATGAGAAAATACAGGACTTTTTGCTAAAAATTTAAAGAATTGTTAACGACGTTGCGTCAAAAGTATACTGACTTAATAAATTATAAAAATCGTACTAGTTCCTTCATAACGTTTCATAGATTGTGCAGTTTTAAGGTAAACGTTTCGTATCTGCCAATATAAGAAACCCATAACAAGCATTGGAAACAGCGTCCACCAATTGATAATTAAAACTTGAGCTAAAATTCCGACCATTACGGCAAATATTTGAATAGACTCTATCATTGTTCTCGGTAATATTTCATCTACAGCTCCAACATCCTTAGAAAAACGATTTAAAATACGACCTGAAATTTAATATTATTATGAGATTTATGGGTAATTGTTAATGTATATTTTTTATTTGATTCTTACCAGACGGGTGTGTGTCAAAAAATAACATTGGTGCTTTAAGTAAGCACGAAAACATGAGATTATGAAGATTCTTACTGGCATTCATACACAGTTTATAAAATACGAGGTTTCTTATGGAAGTAAACAATATGCTTGCAAAGATAAAACCTCCGTAAATCCATAAAGCAGTTTCATAATCGAGATAAGTCGTATCAGTGGAAATCGCATTAATAGTCCACACCTAAAAGACATAAAAACAGTCATAATAACCATTATTTTCTAAATTTAAAACAAGTGAAATAAAATTACGAACACTATCGTTAAAACTTTTATTTTCCGAAGCTATTAATAATTCTGAGTCTGCACTATTAAAAACATTCATATCAAATGGTAACGTTTCGTTCATTGGTTCAGTTGTATTGTCTGTAAAGGCAAGTGGAGCTGTAAGATTATCTTTAAATATTTGCATTGTATGATTATCATGTTCATTTTTTACGCGCATCTCCTCTTGTTTTGTCCTGATAACAAAACAGACATATTAGAATATGCACGATTTATATTAAAAGTAAGCAATAATAATAGATCTACCAACCAATAAGCAACCCAATAATCGCAACCACTACTTCCTATCTGTCCCACAATTAAAGTTAATAAGAAGAACAAAATCATGGTTACAGAACCTCCAGCTCTAAAATATTTCCAGTAAAGTGACTTAGAAAGGTTCCCTTTAGCCATTAATTCTTCTGTTTCTTCTGGTTCTGCTTCTTCGTCATCTCTATCGTTACCGGAAGTAAGGGATACATCAGCTGTGCTATTTCCTATGACTTCTACGGCTTCAGAATCTCCTTTACTTTCTTCCACTGAAAGTGCATGTAAGAAATCTATGCGTTTCGCTTGAAGTTCAACAAACGTTCCTTGAAATTCAATTTTACCCTAAAATAAAAATCGTATCAGCATTAGCAATAATAATACAATTGAAATTTCAATTGCAATTACTTACGTTGTTTAACATAATGATATAATCGCAATTTCTTAGATGTTGTATTTGATGAGTTACTAGGATTCTTGTTTTATCTCGAAGATAACTTTTAATACACTCGTTAAACAACTGTTTACCTACGTGTGTATCAACCGCGGATAATGGATCGTCTAATAAATATATATCTGCATTTCTGTACACAGCCCTGTTACAACGATTATCCATATAATTTTGAGTACATCGATGTAAAATTAATTTCATTTTATTAGGATTTACCTAGCCAAATTTATTCTTGCGCGTTGCCCGCCGCTAAGCGATGCCCCTCTATCTCCGACCAAAGTTTTATCGCCATAATTAAATTGTTGAAAATCTTTAGTCAGAGCACACACTCTAACGATATTGTTATACTTTTCTTTATCGTAAGGTTGTCCGAAAAGTATATTATTTCGCACCGTACCAGCGAATAACCATGCTTCTTGACTAGCATAAGATACACTACCATTTACCCGTATTTCTCCATAAGATTGTTGTAACTCTCTTAAAATTAATTGAAGGAAGGAACTCTGAAATATGCATGCATAAAAAATGGATAGATTTGATATAATTAATTATAGAGATATAATTCCTCAAGGAATGTAGATACCTTTCCTGCACCAACTAAACCAACAATAGCATAAAGCTTTCCAGCTTCTATTTGAACATTAACGTCATGTAATGTATTTACAATTGCACTGTCGGTCCAAGATGCTGTAATATTTTTCATTATAATACTGCCATTTCCATTGGTTTGGTGAGAATTAATTACATTACTGTTTTCTTTCAATGAGAGGAATTTCTGAGAAAAAAAGAATACCGACGTGAACAATATGAGGGAGATTAAATTAAATAATAATAATTATATACCTCACCTCCAGCCTCTTAATAGATACAGAAGCCTCTGCAGCAGCTGATACAGCCATGGGATATAATATAGCCATAGTAAGTTGAAGAATATTAAAGTACTGTGCCATTGAAAACACTTTATCAGCGGATATAGTATTTCCGAGAAGTACGTATGCCATAATTGTAAAATATAATGTTGTTCGTTCGGTGAACACAAAAGTGGCTAAAGTAAAACCTCGTAAGTACGATGTAAGTGTGAGAACGTCTACTTCGCGGCTGAAACATAATTAAGCATTCAAATATACTTAACAGTGTACGATCCGTTAATCATGAAACATAGAAACGAACCTTCTAACAAGACTAACAAGCTTTTCAAACGGTTCTTCCCAAGTATACATTTTAATAACTTGGATTCCTGCAATAATTTCCGACATTATACGTACTCTTTCGTCGGTTCTTAGCGCAATTTTTAATCGCAATTTTGATATCCATTTGCCCATATATCCTGCAATAAAATCAAGTTACTTAACACCATTTTTTACCTATTAAAATTTCTTGATAGAGAATAATGTGGTACCTTGAAGAGGTATAGTTTGAATGCTTATAAGGAAAACACCAGCAAATGCAGCAACTCCAACATTTTTCCAAATCATAAAGGCAATCAGAGCTCCTTGAATTGGTAAAATCCAAATGAAATGCAATGATATAAATAATTGTTCAAACCTTCCCACATCATTTGATAATAGATTTATAATCTGTCCTGGAGTAGTAACATTGGTGGATGATTTTGATAGACGTAAAATCTAAAATAAACAGGTATAATAATAGATAAATTAAAAAATGTACATAAGATAATTTACATTACCTTTCTATACATTAGAGAGGAACATGCTACTCTCACTCTCATTCCAACTTCCATTAAACCTAAATTTGAATGATGAGTAATGAAAGCTATACATAAAGTCATAAGTACAACAGCTGAAGCATAAATGTATGCTTCAGTGGCAGTAGATACAGATCTGGGATCAAAATGCCAAATTAGTAACCCTAACACGTATGGTTGTAGAACCCTGTAACATTAAGATAGCATTATTTATTATTGTCCAACACATATGAAAGAAACTCTTACCTCAACACAATTGCTACAAAGCACTGCCATCCTCCATAATAAGCAAAGGACCATGTAAATGTTTTTCGTAAAGCAGTAAAAAACCTGGGCTTTCTATAATCTTCTTCAGCTGCTTTAATCTCTTTGAACCAATTCCTAAGTGCAATGAAAATACAAATAAATTTCTATTGATATTAATCTTACGTACATAAGATTATTTCATACTTACCTCTCAAGTTTATCTCCGAGAAGTTGGCTAACATCATTTGGCATAACATTATATATATCTTTAAGTTCAAGATCATGGTCCCTTCCATACCAGAACAGAGGTTTCAACCACCTTAAAATGTTCGAATAAAAGGATTATTGATTGAAATGTATAATCGCAAATGATATTAAAAACTTACCAAAATATTAATTTGCTAAAAAAATTTGCTGACAATTGTGGATTAGGATTATCATACTTCTTACTAGCATCCATGATTGATTCTTTTACACACACTACGGGCACTCGTGCTAGAGTAAATCATACCGTTTGAAAAATTCGAACAATTCACGAGTCACGCTGAAGCATCGATTTCATGCTAGTAAAAAAATAACTCTTCGTGTCATCATCAAAGAGGTACGAGCAACAACTCGAACACTCCCGACAAACCGATAGAGTTTTCCTGTTTCAAGACTGTTATCATAAAATGTACCATGAAATGATCTAATAGCACGTGCGAGAACACGCGCATGATCAATTGGACGCGTCTACATAAGGCCCTAGAGATCTCAATGTATTGGACGTTACTCCTCTAAAGATACTCGGTGTTAAAATGTCAAGGTCATTGACATTTGTCGAACGTTAACGGTCCACTTTACTATCTATTTTTAAGCAGTGTTGGAACATGTTCACATACTAATTAACTATATCCAAAGTGAAATAAAGTGGAACATAACAATTTCCGATTCACACATTATTCCTGGTACAATGAATTGAATTATAATTCAATGGATTGAACATTGAACAGCAAACACTATACTAGATTTTATTTTTATACATTTATGTATAAAAAAAAGACTATAAATGTACTTGAAAAAGTATTGCAATGAAATTAAACCGATTGAAAGAGATGAGCATAAGGAAAGAGATAAAAATTAAAATCGATAAATGCTATCGCTGATATAAAATGTGTAAATTAGATAAGTAAAATAAATAACAGAAATTACACAACTGCAAGTAAGTATACTGCTAAATAAAATTCGATTTGAATTTCATTTTTTTTCCTTCTTCTCTCGTTTTTTTACTATGCGTTTTCGTTGTCCAGACAACTGAAATAAATTGTCAGTTTTTCTTCGAGGTAGCGGATGGCCGACTTCCAAAATTTCTTGTAAATTAATCAATATCCTTTTTTAAATTCTTTTTCGGTCCCACGATTCAAGAAAATCTGAAATAATATTTCAAGAAAACGTACCGTTAAAAAATTATCAAAATGGTATGATATATTTACTGATATTTATAATTTTTTTCTCGTACAATTCTTCTCCTCTGGAGAACCTTTAACGCTCGATACAACAGTCGCGAAATAAGATTATTTTAAAGTTACGTCGCAAAACATAAAATCTTCTTTACGGCGAAAACATGTCGTAATCGTCGTAATTACGTCTTTACCTTGAAGATATCGAAATGTTTATTAACGAAAATTGTTTTAATACAGCGCGAGTGTATATCAATGCACGTAGGCCAAGCAGGCGTTCAAATGGGCAACGCGTGTTGGGAATTGTATTGCCTCGAACATGGAATCCAACCGGATGGAACGATGCCGTCAGACAAAGTGTCCGGCACAAACGATTGTTTCAACACATTTTTCAACGAGACTAGTTCTGGAAAGATGGTACCGCGTGCAGTGATGGTTGATCTTGAACCTACAGTAGTTGGTTAGTTTAACTCTGCCACCGCTAAAATACTCATAGAATGAATCGTTCGTCCACGTGACGTTAACGTGTACGCAATCAATCAGAAATTAAAAGATTCTCGTTCAAGGACCTAACGTTAGTGATAGTAAGATTAAAATGTATCTAGACTAAGTCTAAGTATTTTTTAATATGATTTACTGATAAACAAATATGTCAATCATCGTTTAAAAGAGGCAGGAATGAAATTTTCGACGAGTCATTGTCCCTACCACTCTTCTGGTATCCCCTAAAGATGGTAATACCTGTCTCGTTTGCGTTCTACTTGCTCTTTATTCTTATCCACCAAAGCCAGAAAGTAAATTACTCGAGAGATAATATGAAAGCGAACGAGGCAGGTGTTACCATTCTTGTGGAATGTTAATTCTTAATTACTCTGTAACGCTTAAGATAATAAGAAATACTCTGTTGCAGATGAAGTAAGAATCGGTTGTTACAAGAAACTGTATCACCCGGAGCAATTAATTACCGGGAAGGAGGATGCTGCCAACAATTACGCTCGGGGTCATTATTCCATCGGTAGGGAAGTGATAGACTCCGTGATGGATAGAGTTCGGAGGCTGACGGATCAGTGCACCGGCCTTCAAGGTTTCTTCGTGTTCCATTCGTTCGGTGGTGGTACCGGCTCGGGATTTACTTCGTTGCTCATGCAGAAACTTTCAGACGACTATGGAAAGAAAAGCAAATTAGAATTTGCCGTGTACCCAGCCCCCCAAGTATGAACCTACCGAACTTAAGGAATCCGATTGTTTTAAACGAAAGTAATCCAACCATTTAGGTATCTACCGCTGTCGTTGAACCTTATAACGCAATCCTTACGACTCACACCACTATCGGTCATTCGGATTGCGCGTTCATGGTAGACAACGAGGCGATTTATGATATATGTAGACGAAAACTCGGAATCGAACGGCCCTCGTACGCTAATTTAAATCGTCTGATCAGTCAAGTGGTGTCCTCGATAACAGCGTCTCTGAGATTCGATGGGGCCTTGAACGTGGACTTGACCGAATTTCAAACGAACTTGGTACCATATCCTAGAATACATTTCCCTCTAGCCACATACGCCCCAGTGGTATCCGCTGATAAGGCTTTCCACGAGGGCATGTCCGTTGCCGAAATAACATCCGAATGCTTCGAGGCATCGAATCAGATGGTGAAATGCGATCCACGGGAAGGGAAATATATGGCATGTTGTTTATTGTATCGCGGTGATGTCGTGCCTAAAGATGTAAACGCAGCGATAGCCGCGATGAAGAGGAAAAGTTGCATACGTTTCGTTGATTGGTGTCCGACTGGTTTCAAAGTCGGCATCAATTACCAGCCGCCTACCGTTGTTCCTGGTGGAGACCTTGCAAAGGTATATATTTTATTACGTAAATACGTCGTTACCGTAGACGGTAATTAAAGAGTACAACGTTTCTTACGCTTTATCTTGTATGTGTAAGTTGTGTAGTATCGGGAAGGCTGATGCTTGTATCTCTTTTCCAAATGCAAGGATATCAAAGACTTCAGAGTCATCTTCGATTCCTTTAAAAATTGTATGCCACTTCTTTTATCTGTAATGCCGTCTAATTGATATTACAGTAGGTGACGAAGTAATTAAGTAATTGAACTATGATATGAAGTAAACATTTTGGAGTACCTCTTATGTAAAATTATTTCATCACAGCTTGTGACATAGAATGACTATGAAGAAAGATGAACAATGTTGCTGTTCGAAGCTGTGTTAAATATTTTTAAAATTTTTTAGGTGAAACGAGCGGTGTCAATGTTGTCTAATACTACGGCCATCGAGGAAGCATGGGCAAAATTGAATAACAAGTTTGATCTCATGTTCCATAAACGAGCATTCGTTCACTGGTATGTTGGAGAAGGTATGGAGGAAGGTGAATTTGCTGAGGCACGTGATGATCTCGCTGCATTGGAGAGGGATTACGAAGAAGTTGCGCTCGAATCATCAACCACACCAGATGCTTCGTTGGAATATTAAAAGAAATATGTACGATTCTTTTAAATACAGTTGGCACATTTTGGCTACCTGGAATGAAAAAACAATTTTTGTATAATATACCCCTTATGTTTTTGTAATTTGTTATATTTATTTTTTATTAAAAGTATATTTGTTTGATAACATTGTTGTCTTTTTACAAAATAAACCAAAAAAAAAAAATGTGTACCTTTGAATCTGCTGTTTTTACTTGTTATAGAGTACTAAAAGTAAAAGACTTATTAAGAATTTCAAATCTTTTAAACTTAACTAATATTCAGATTTATAATTATTGCACAGAGTGCAGACGCAACCACTATTTGATGCTTCTGTAAACCGCTCACACAAAAATGTTACGTTTATGATTATACTTAAAATTAACTTAGCAATAATATTCTTGACTCCACTTGACTCTCGTAAAATAAAATAAAATATACGATAAAATGATTTAAGTATTATATCACAAAGAAGCTCTCGTAGTATCACTCCGACTTACATTTTTCTTAATATTAAAGTAAAATAAATTCTGTTTATTCGTGCTTATTTATCTTACAGTAAATCTCTAATTACAATTTCATTCCTTACGAAAAAAAGTTACGTACGAAATGTTGATTAAATCTAACTTAATATTTTAACCGATTCATCAAAGATGGAACGGAAATGAATTTGATAAGATAAATTTACAATCTGAGCTACAACTGTACAATGATGTTCAACATAAATTCGATACGATTACTTAATGATAACTAAAAGTATTTTTTGAAATCTTTCACGGCTAATTTATGCATGAATTCTTACGTAACTTAATTATTAAAATTCGAATAGTAAAACTATTTGACAAAAATATGTTTCCTAATGTTATTATACCAAAAGCGTTGGTATGGGCTTTTTTCCAGGCCAAGCCTCTTTGGCATATTTTTTCTTTTTCGGTTCCATAGTTCGTGTTTCCGTAGGTCCTGGTATTTCTGGTACGTGTGGTACTTCCACTGGTATTTGATTAGGTGTCATCTCCACCTCAGGTGCTGGATTTGGTAACGCGATACCAAGTCGAGAGGATAACGAAGACAAAGCACTGGAAAATGGATTAAGAGATAACGACGATGGGGTAAACTGTTCTGGTGGTAAATCTTGATATAGTTGGGGTGCCGTTGCTGTAGGTTGAACGTGTTTCAGAGGATTGTGATCTTCTGTTAAAGATATTAAGCCTCCTTCCATACGCATTCTCTAAAATATGAATCATTAAATGTATTAAAAAGTAAAAGGTTAATAATTTCACAAACTATATTAACAGCAATGATTCCTACTTTGCTGGGTACTACAGTCGTTTGTACAAGATTACGAAATCTGCCGACCGATGGATCGACATCTTCCGGGTTAATTACTTCTTCGTCATCGTTGAAAGTAATTCCCTTTTTCTTTCGTTTTCTCGTTGGTTTATGAATTTCATCGTCCGTTATACCTAGCATAGATATGCGCCTATTATGTGCAGTATTAAACTCTGTTAAGTTCTGTAAATTACACATAACTATTATTATTTACTTATCATGAACTAGGAAGAAAATGGTATAAAATTCAATTATTAAATATGTACATCAAGTTCTGTTTCTGTTTCAGGTAAGCCCAATAAACCACCAGCATCTATATCTTCTGACAATTTTTCTAATTCCTCAATAATGGGTCTTGTACCAGTTTGAGGTCTTTCTCTGATAATGTAATATCGAGTAGAAGCTCCAAAATGAAATGTACTATCAATAGGTAACTGTGTAGGTTTATGTGGTTCCAAGCGTAGATTACCAATAAAAGTTCCATGTGCTGAAAAATTGATAATGTTTATCATTTGTTTTAGTTATTTATTGTTATTTACAAGTATTATTACATGATACTTACTGCTACCCAAATCAACAAGAAATGCTCGATTTAGGTGCTTGTGGTATACAAGAGCAGCATGAACACGAGAGCAAGATGCATGGTCTATACAAAAGTCATTTAATTGTTGATTACGACCAAATAAATAACATTTCTTTTCATCAACCATTAATTTCTAAAAAAATAGTGTTTCTTATATGCCTATTCAATAAATATGATGATTCAATTACTAAATGTATTAAAAGGTTGTTGTACCTGAATTAATTTATCATTTTTCAATACATCTAAATGTAATCCAACTGGTGGCTTTCCAGCCCTGAAAAAAACATAACCTATAGAATCTGTGCTTGATACCTTCAATGTTTACAAACATTATTTTTAATCAGATGCTTATCATATTCAACAAAGGTTTTATAAATTTACCAATTAGGTACTTCATAATGATTAGCCATCTTCACTTTGTTACAAATTTATTTCCTTACTCAACTAAGTGGATGAAAAATATATCCCATGTCAGCAGTACCAAAATATCATGTTAACTCAATATTGAAAATCTTTTATAACAATTCTTTATAGAAGTTATTATTTCCATTTTATCCATTGATCAATATTTATCGAATCAACGGTACTAGTAACAGGCATATATCCATGTTTTCGCGCAAAGTTGTTTTGAGTTGTTTTGTAAAAAATTTAAAAATTAAGTATTATTTTGATGACATATACATTGTGTATCTAATATTAATTATATTTTAAAGGCGGTGACTATAAATTCTAAACAACGTAATTCAATTGTACATAGGAATTGTATATATGCTTCCTTAAATACTAATAGGTGAATTTAATCGCAGCTTCGAGGCTCTCTTATTGGATAGAACAAACAATAAGATCAATTTTCCAGCGATTGTATGTATGTTTTTTACAATCAGCTAAAGCACTAAGAAACCTTAGCTTATATTTAACTGTCACACTATTTAAATTATCATAAACATCTTCAAAAAACAGTGAATCCTCACAGTAACCTAGCCGACACAGTGCATCGCATATAGAGCAGCTATAGTGTGTTCATCTTTTGGACTTTCTCTTTTGACGCCCAATTGTTAAGACTGAAAATATGGAATTATGTAATGATAGTCACTAAAAAATCAATAAAGTACTAGTCTTTTAGGAGAAAACATTATTTTTTGTATACCTGGAAAAGTAATAAAAGCTTAGAAATTATTATACTTTTTGAAATATGAAATAAGAGCACTATTAGTATAGTGACCAATCGAACTTACTGTATACCGCAGTTCACCAGAGTCCATAACTGCGAAAAGACCAGTTTTCGTTCTTTGCGCTTCTCCAGTGCGCATCTTCGCCCTGATTGGCGATACTTCCAAACGAAGTGGAAAGCGATTAGCGGAGAGCTCGCTGCGTTCCCCCACCATCTTCCAACCTGCGCGTCGCAGTTATGGACTCTGGTGAACTGCGGTATATATAGTTATATAGTACCACTGACAAGGTATGAATTTCTATGCCTATACATATACCTCATCTGTGACAGTACTGTAAACGTATGCTATTATTGTAATTTAATTCTTATTGAATTGGGTTCTTAGGTTCCTTGCGCCCAAAGATTGTCTCTAAATTTGTTTATGAGACACGAACTGATGGATGTGCTTGTAAAAAATTACGTGTAGTAATTTATTACGGCCGAAATGTCGTACAAAATTGGGCAACGTGTCGAAGTTCCTGGCAAGGACTGTCAAGGAGTAATTGCTTATATTGGTCATCCTAGTTTTGCATCAGGAAAATGGATTGGAGTAATACTTGATGAACCAAAAGGAAAAAACAATGGCACTATTAAAGGTCAATCTTATTTCAAGGTGGGCTGTGTACTTGTACTTGTATAGTAATGCATATGCAAATTGCAAAACAGAGATTTAACAGCAATTTAATGTCATCTTTTACAATACAGTGTGCTGAAAATCATGGGATGTTTGTACGACAATCCCAGCTTATTTTATTGGATGAAGCAGGTAATAGAACAGAACCTGCTAGTCCATCATCAGCAGGTAGTAGTGCTACAACACCAGATGAAACCAGTGCAGCACGTGCCAGAAGCCGGTTGAATAGGTATATTTTATATTTCTACCATGTTGAATGATTTCATTACATTAATATTGTTTGTTCTATCTATTAACATGATTTGTGTGATTAATTATACTGTCATAAATTCCATGCTAGCATCAGTACACGTCGAAGGAACGAACCTACTGCGTAAGTTTCTGTTCTAATTCATTAATCAAAGCTTATAATTTTCAAATCAAAATGCTCATCCATATTGTAAAATTTTTCATATAAGCACTAATAAAATAATTGGTATTATGGGGAAAGTATAATTAATAGATTCTTAAAATTCATATGCTGGTCATAAAAGAGTACGGAGAAAAACATCTCCTGCCCATGTTACCCGGCAGCAATCTGACAAGCTATCTGGGTAAGAATCTGTGCAAGTTGATTGTTGAGAGATGTCTCTGAGTATTTTTCCTAAATGCTTTTGTGTAACTTTATATAGCAAAGTAAGCTTGTAATTGTATTGCAATTTTGATAACACATAAAATGTTGCAAATATATAAATAATATAAAGGAATATACAAATGAATATAATAATAAAGAGCTTCAGTTATACACGTTATAATGCCAGAGTATGATTTTTACACTTTTATATTGTAACTTATTAATGCACCTGTGGCTTTTGAAAATATGTATATTTTATGTGCAAAAACATGTAAGTTTAATGGAATCAGTATGATGTATATTCTTAGCTGTGATTTTATCATTACCGAAATTATTGTTACAAAAATGTTATTAAAATTATTCTTTACAGCTCGCGATTATCCTTGGCTGGTAGTAGAACGCTTTTAAGCGCGCCAAGTACCGAAAGTTTATCGGGATCGCAACATGAACGTAAAGATACAGGAGAGTCACTCATACCAGCCCCAACTTCAACTAAACGAGCTTCATTTATCGAGGTATTGCCTTTTTGTTTTAAATATGATTATATTATTTTCACATTATCAATTGCAATAAGTTGTTTTATTCATTATTTATATATGTGAACACAATAAATGGATTATTCTGAGGATTCAACAAGTAAACTACATGTAACAGACAGTTATTGATTTTATATTAAAGTCTTTGGACTACTTAAAGTAATTTATATGATTGTTCCTATGACTCGATAATAGAACGAAAAATAATGAGAGATTCTTGCAAATGTTTGACAGAACAATGAGATAATAAGTTCTTAAATATGAGTACATGCTAGACGGTTCCGTTGGCACAGAATGATTCATATGGGAATGCACGTACGTGTTTCAGAAGTCCCCTAGCACGAGCTCGCCTCCCGGCAAAAAGCCAAAGGCCCAAGATGATCACAATAATGTAATTAATACTCATTAATTGTAATATCTCAATTTTTCTCATCTGACCTTAAACTTTCTCATAATAGTTGTTTGTTGATCATAAGCATTGTAACACATGACTTCATAATAACTAGCATCATTGCACTTTGATGGGTTTACCTCTTCTTAATGGATTATGGAATTAATTTATCCTCTATCATGTTCACTGTTGTGTTAAACATCTGCTTTGTTAATTCAGTTCTGTGATGCTTTAGGATAGTTTAAAACTTTTAAGAGGAAAATATGTTAAAATGTAGTTATTTATTTAACAATTAGATACCGAGTTCCTCTTAAGGTTTTCTTACCGAGGTGATAATAACAGTTTTTTCCTTTCATGAAAAATCTCCTAACAGCATTATGGTACAAAGGTATATTACTACTCGAACCTTCTCTTTTTGTTTTTTAGTTTTTTTTTTTACTAAAAAATAGATATCCCTGACATAAATGCAATTATAAATATAAATATAACACTATAAATCAATAGGATACGATAGATGACTTAGCTGACACTGTCTACTATAAAATCATATAACACAATTCAGATCATTGATTGAATTCCCTACACTTATTAGAACTAATAGAATAATTGGTGTAGCTTGTTGGTGTCTTTTTATCACAATTAATCTCATTAATCACTTTAAAATAGAACTAATTCTACTAAATGTACATAAAACAACATTCCTCTGAAATATGTTTCGTATAGGAAATTTGGGGTGTTTTTTTCATTACCGCAGATGCGAAATTATATTCTTCTTTAAGGATCTAAGACAATTTCTAAGCAAACAAATATACAGAGTGCGATAATAAAAGAAACACCCGATTTCTATTGCACTGTGGTGTCATTTATTGTTTGTTTGCAATTTAGACAGGTTTTGTAGAAACTCTGAAACCCCAGTTTGTACCTGGCCAAGTCATGGCAGGATCTGCAGCAGCTGCAAATCTGGTAGAAGAAAAACTGTCGCATTTGCAACTTCAACAAGAAAATGAGAATTTGAAATCTCAGGTAAATCATAGAAAACATTTTCTTTTTTCTCCAAGTTACATGTACCATCCTACAGGTTCGTGACCTTACCGAGAAAGTAGAAACTTTACGAGTGAAGAGAATGCAAGATAAAGAAAGGATGAAAGACTTTGAGAAAACAAAACTTCAACTTGAACAGCTTCTTGAATTTAAAACGAAAGTTATGGAGAACCAAGTAATGAAAATTTAATTTTTAAGACCTTTTCTAATACGCGAAGTGACATATATTGTTTATTAATTTTCATATTCTATTGATGTAAGGCTAGTCTTCAAAGGGAACTTCAACGAGCACGTCAAGAAACAAGAGATGCACACGTAGCTCGAGAACAATTCCAAGAAGAAATGGCAGATCTCGCGGAAACAGTAGAAATGGCAACATTAGACAAAGAAATGGCCGAAGAAAAGGCTGAAACGTTGCAGATCGAGCTGGAACAATTGAGGGAAAAGTTAGAAGAACAGACATTGGATTTAGAAATATTGCGCACGGAAATATCGGAAAGGGTAATGAATTTTATTTTCTATTATGGTAGATTTATTAATATAGATAATTATTACAGTCCGCGGGAGGTGGTTCTACTACTGGTGTTTCGAGCTATGAAATAAAACAATTAGAACAGCAAAACAATCGATTACGAGAAACTCTCGTTAGAATGCGAGATCTTTCGGCGCATGAAAAGCACGAATTTCAGAAACTTCAAAAGGATTTGGATCAGAAAAAATCAGAGATATTAGAATTAGGTCGTACGAAGGAAAAATTGTCTGCGAGAGTAGAAGAAATGGAACATCAAATTGCAGACCTACAAGAACAAGTTGATGCTGCATTAGGTGCTGAAGAAATGGTCGAAGTGCTTGGTGAAAAGAAGATGGCATTAGAGGAAAAAGTTGCGGAGTTGGAGGAAGCTGTATCAGATTTGGAAGCTCTACAAGACATGTCCGATCAACTTGCCGAATCATCGAAAGAATTAGAGCTAGAATTGCGGGAAGAACTAGACCTGGCACTTGGAGCAGCGCGTGACGCTTATCGTCATCGAGACGCAGCTTTAGAAACGTTAGCGGATCGAGAACTGACGATTACAAAATTCCGGGAGCTTACACATCAACTACAAGAGCAATGCTTGCAATTACAACAACGCGTACAATCAACAGAAACCTCTAAATTAGGAGGAGGAGGAGGCGCAGAGCAACAATTGGCAGAAATTTTAGACTTCCAGAAAACTTTCGCCGAAACACGTGCACAAACGAAAGCTGTTGATCTTGAATTACGTCGTTTAGAAGCCGAAGAAGCCCGGAATCATGTCAAGTATTTGTTATCCTTTATGCCTCCTGCATTCTTAGGACGCGGCGGAGACCACGATGCTATACTGACTCTTCTACTTATACCAAGAATGATACAAAAGACGGAAATACTTATATCGCAAGTGCGAGATAAATATAGGTCTATAGATAAAATTGATAGAACAGCAGTCGTGAAGGGTCACGCAGTAGCACAGTACACGTTCAGAGCTCGTTTGTGCTCGTACATGTACGCGTTACAAACGTTCCTAGGTTGCTTCGATTCTGCTCTAAATGTTTGCACTACTGAAATGTTACTTAAAGCTGGAGCAGCTTATCCAGAAATGGCTGCCCAAGAAAAGGCATTGGATGCTTTGATAGATTTAGCTAAAAGGGATCAGTTGGATGAAAATCTACCAATGGATGCTATTGAGAAGTGTTGCGGATACTTCTGTACTATGTTCTCTGTCCTATTTGGAGAAACTATCAGTCAAGCCCGGTTAGTGGTAAACGGCACTAGAATGTTGGACAGTTCTTGCGATGCTGTCACGACTGATGCTGCTGCAATTAAAATCTTAATTCAAGGAGACGGCGGTGATTTAGGTCTGCTTTGTCAACATGCAGAAACTACGTGCGAGGTGATTCAACAGCACTTAAGATCAGCCAGGAGAAGGGTACTGACGGATCATAGCGCTGCGTTCCATGCTGCGGAATCGAATTTAGGATTGGATAATGACTGCACCGAACAAATGTTCACGTGTTACCAACATGCGGTTAAAATGATGAAGACGCTGCAGTCATTGTTGAAGAGTGCGGTACAAGCAATTATCACGAATGGGGACTTGGAGACAGGGCTCAGTACGGAAAAATTAAAAGAAATGGCTTCGATATCGTGTGAGAAAGTATACGATACCGAGGATGTCGGGCCCGTGGCTACGATTAAAGGAAGTCTTACAATTATCCAACAATTAGCAGCGAACTTGGCACAAAAGATGGCCGAATACGAAAACGAGCTGGCTATAAGCGGTCAATTATCGCTACAGTTAGAACAGAATGCAGAAAATGAAAGCATACAACCGGTTAAAATAAGGGCTCAAGCAGCGAAGAAAGAAGCGGAAGAAACTAAGATACTCAGTAGAAAATTAGAAGCTAGAGATAGCGATATACGGGAAGCAAGGATAGCTCTTAGAGAAAAGCAAGAGGAATTATGCGAGATGATTTTAAGGAAAGATGTCGTAGAGAAAAAGCTTGCAACACAACAACACGAACATGAATTAAATGTGGAGAAGTTGAAGAGAAAACTGGAAGAAGCTCAGAATCAATTAAAACGAAAGGAAAAAGAATTCGAAGAGACGATGGATCATCTTCAAACCGATATCGATAGTTTGGAAACCGAGAGAGGTCAATTAAAGGAGAAATTAAAATCTATTGGAAAGAAAACGATGATGTCTCTGCCTGTAGGAGACAACGTAACAGGAAGTGTAACAGCAGGATCAGGAATTCAATCATTGGATAATAAATTCTTAATGCAAGAAATAAACTCTCTCAGGGAAGCATTACTCAGTGAAACTCAACAGAAGAAGAAATTAATGTCTGATACATTGCGTGAAAAGTTGGAAAGTTTAGATCCTATTGCACCTCCAGCAAAATCAGGATCAACTAATGCAAAGATATTAGAATTGAAGAAGAAAACTAACGATCTTACTAAGGTAAATCGTGAAATTTCGGAAGTTATTATATCACTTTTATAAACATTTCACCAAGATATTTTTATTTTTCAGGATATCAAGCAAGCTATGACATTCCCTACGGTTCCTGATCTAAGGCGTAAGAAGATATTAGAAAAAACAATGCCGTTACATCATCTGTTGCAACGTCAAATAATTATGAGAGAATTAAAAGACCGAGCTGATCAGTTGGTTGTAAGTAATTGATTCCTGAAAAAAAAAGAGCACATATAAGTTAATCTGTCATTGAAAATTAACAATCTTTTAATTCTTGCAGGATGAAGTTCGCGAGGAGATTGTAAAGAGAACGGCAGGAGGAAAGGCTGAAGCGAACTTTGCAGTATTTCCAAACCGTGAAATGGCAGCAGCGATGCAAGAAAATCAATTATTTGCTGCGGAAGTGGTGATTCCCCATAAGGGTTCAGAACAAGTTTTGACTGTTAACGTAGGTACTCAGGAACTTAGAAAAATTCATACTTTACTATGCTATTAAGTTTGCTAGTTGTTGTCTAGTAGCACGTATCTGATGTGGCAGAATATGCTACCACACAACTGCTAACAATTACAATGTGGTTGTAAGATATTAATTCGTAGTTTGCTTTATATTAAATTCATACATGAGATGTGATAGCCGATGATGTTCTGTTGCAACTTATGTACAATTAATCTATTTTATATATGAAAAGAGAATAATTAAGTTTTTATATCCGACGAAAGGAGCAGATTAAATCTAGTGATAATATATCTTTTTTGAGTGTGCGATTTTATTTATTTGATCGGCTATAGCACGATGACCGGTGCATCGTAGCTGGTAGTCTGTATCATTTTGTTCTTTTATAAACTCAAATATATCATTACTATTAACAATTTGAACAATCAAGTTCTGCGCCTCTATGACTTCTGTATAATATCTTTTATGAATTATCAAATATATGACTTAAAAATATTTACATAAATATCCTTTACATTATCCCATGTGTCAAGAATATCGCAACACAGTTACTGGGAGCAAGTATATCGTCCATTTTGAACAATATGTTACTACCATTCTGGATAACTATAATAATTGTGTATTGCCATAAAAATTGACACTTAATGAAATGGAAACTATAATACAATGTTTCAATTTTTATTTATAGCAATAAAAGAAGCAGTAAACCGTTGATATATCCTTCATTATTTATGAAGTAACGTATGCCTTAATTACTGTCATAATTTTATTATACATACACACACATAAAATGTTATCTGTATACAATGTGGTCTCGTATCAGTCAACATGATATTTATACTATCTGTCTTTTAAACAGAACAAAAAAAAAAAAAGAGATTATTTCAAGCAAAAAATCATTGATCTCTAACAAAAAATTAATTATCACAATACAATGCTATTTTCATTTTCTTTTATAAAAGATTAAGGTCAGCTTGTATTTTTTGAACAGTATTATATATTTTTATTATCATATTATAACAGTACATGGAAAGATGAATTTAATGATATAACAACATAATGCGTATCATTACAGTTATTCGATTTCAAATTAGTTCCAACACACGATGATCCACGAATCGGTATTGTTGATACGTGAAAAAGTAGTGAAATGTTAACGTGAATAAATGTGAATGTATGAAGAAACATATAAGGTGAAGTATGTTTATTTGACATCATTTGTATTAACTATAATTACGAAACCTATTATAAAACTACTTTAGTATTTACATTATCGAAAGATTTCAAAATTTCTCCAACTTATGGAACATTATCAGCTTTTAAGCAAATAATTGTTTATAATTTTATACTTTGTTATTTTTGTTTACTAGTTGCCTCGTACGGAGATCAATGGATAGGTAATATATGATCCATACAACTGACTAGCTCGTACAATAAATTTTAATCTGTTAGATTTTTATTTCTGATGATATTTACAGCCAGTAGTTTGTGACATACCAATTAATTGTATCTTTTCAAGAACGCATAATACGAGCGTGCAGAAGCATACAGAGCGATATAATAATTATTTGAAGTTTTTAAAATTCCTCTTTTTATGTACCACAGGAACAAAAATGTAAGCTGATACTAATTATTATAAAAGAAAGTGCTCGAAATTCATTCGAAATAATTAATTTTTTGTCAAGATCCAATGAACATCTGTTTGCTAAACTAACAAAATTATCACCAATATCATAGCGATTGATACGAGGATCACTCTGTATATACACATATACATATCAGATAGCAGTAAGTGCATATATCATTAATTATTCATTAACTTACTCGTTCATTCATTCTCACTGCATGGTAATACACACTTTTACTCGTTAATTTTGTTTTTAGTTTCCCTCATTTGTAATAATAATAACAATAATAATAAAAATAATAATAATAATTAACCATACCATTCATTCAAGGAGATTTACCGGTTGCATCTCTTTTTTTTTTGTTCTTCGTCAAACAAATTGTCCTTTGAAAATATAATAGTACATATATAAGATCCAGTCGTATTATCCTTGTATTATGGATCACATTAAGGCTGACCGGATATTTTCTTTAGAATGTTTCCACAATAAGAATATGATATAATTAATAACGATCAATTATACATTATTTTGGAAGTAGTGCTTGGAACATGGACGTGAATATTGGCGCTACTAGTATGGTCAGTGTGAAATGAAAATTTTCAATGACAGAAACGAGCCTTTGAAAACTCCTTTCTAATTGCTGCATGTAACGTGACTTCGCGTATATAACACGACTCATTATACACAATCAACAATCGATTGATCGATCGATTAAGAATTTCTAAGTCACGTATTGTAAACTTAATATCAAAGCAATAGCACGAGGAATACCGCTGCACAGTCTCTGCCATTAAAACTACACGGAAGAAATCCTTTGGCTGAATTTGGTTACAGAATTATTTTTCATGCGCTTCGTGTATTATTCTTTTCTTCTTCTCTTAATTATCTTATTCACATGAGAACTAAGTCTGTAATCCATCTTCAATATAAAAAGTCTGTTTAATGTTGATCTTGTTTATTGTAATCGACTAAACATACTCACAGAAAGAAAGAGAGTTAGCAACGAAGCTCATCAGGACAAATGGATATTCTCAGTAATTTGCTCGTTTCTCGACTGATACGGTGTACCTAAAAATTAAACTGCTGCCTTAATGATAATATTACTTGTCAGTATTTGCATCGTCGATACTGCCACTTATTCGTATGTACGCATGTATGTATCTATGTGTACGTTATGTATATATATATATATATATATTTATATAAAAAAAAGAAAAAAAAAATGTTATTATCAGAGTCAATACTATCAAAGAAGAACCTTTGATAATATTAACACAGGAGTTTATGCAAGAAAAATAACATTTCTCTCAAGTTGCACACACGTTATATTTATACTATATTGTATACTGAGAATAAAACAAAAATTGGGAAGCAACAAACTGTATTTATATCTCAGTACACTTATATTTTCTTCATGCTCTCATATAATCATTCGCTCATTCTCACACGTTTGTTTCTATTTGTAGAATAGATATAAAATTTTGTATGTTGTATTTAATCATCTACCCCGAATATTTAAGAATAGTCAAAATGTTCTCTCTTTCTTTCTATGAAAGATATTATGTCGGTTTTTTTTTTTCTCGATTAAATCACACATTACACCGTTATGTGCATTCTCTTACAAACGTCTTCGGGGCATCAAAACCTTTATTTCAATTAGTATCAACGGTGAATTAAATAGGTAATAACAAAATAAGAACAAGCCACCTTCGGCTGATCTCACTTGGATTTTAAGCCCAAAGAGGTGGATCAACCAAAACTCTAAGCACTAAGAATACATCGAAATTCTCACTGGTCAGTGAATTCATAAACGTGTATTTGTGTGGCCTTTATGTCCTTTATCGTGTACGATACGTTTGTAATCGTATAATTCCTCCTTTCTGTGAACTTAGAGGATTGATTGATTTAACTCTTTGACATGGCATTCATACAAAGTTGAGTACCTGATCTTGGACACTTTTGCAACTGCAAATAGGATTGATGCAACGACGAATGGTTGTAGTTTTAACGTGCTCCTAAAACAAAGAACACGTTATATGTTAGAGAAATGAAAGGCGATACGCGTATATAATGCGCTTTAACATATATATGATATAACACCTGATTGAGCGTTGGCCTGAGCTGGCGGTTGACCTTGGGTCTGTCCTTGTCCCTGAGCACCTTGAGTGGCTTGACTTGGACCGGCTGCAGTTGCTCCAGCATTAACATTACTACCCCCTACTACTACTTTTTGTTTTAACATTGTCCAATCAAATGTGTAATCATACTGATGATTTAATGTACGAAAAAGTATACGGAAAAGTTGACGAAGATACATGTAATCTGGACTCTCTTCGAAACGTAAACCTCTCGTATAATTTAAATACATCGCGAATTCAGCAGGAAATCCCTAAAAGATGTAAAGAGATGTAAACAATTTCCAGTATTATATATCTTATATCTAATGACAAATGTTATTATTTACGAACAGAAAACACACCTTACATAAAACTTCTACGGGTGTGGACATCTTTTTCTCACTTATTTTTTCATATTTCTGCTTTTTGGTAGCAGCTTTAAGCCCTTGCCAAGGCAAAGATCCTCGATTGAAATACATAAGCACGTAACCAAGTGACTCCATATCATCGCGACGACTCTGTTCTATTCCAAGGTGAGCATTAATCGAAGCATACCTTGCTGTGCCTGTTAAATTTTTATCTTCTCGGTACATTATGTGTAGTCTTGTACGACTATCTCTATATTTTTTTGCTAATCCAAAATCAATAATAAACAGCTGAAATTTTATAAATCATCAACATCATTTTATAATGAAAATGCATACGTAAAGTAGAGGAATAAGTATACTTTCAAACTGCAAAAGTACATAATACCTTATTACAATGACGACCGATACCCATTAGAAAATTATCTGGTTTGATATCTCTATGAATAAAATGTTTGCAATGAACATATTCGATCCTGCCAATCATTTGGTCTGCCAACATTAAGACGGTTTTAATTGTAAACCTTCTCGAGCAGAAAGTGAAAAGATCTTCAAGAGATGGACCAAGAAGGTCCATAACAAGTACATTATAGTCTCTTTCTTGTCCATACCTATATTGAATAAAAAAAACAGCATTTATTTGTGAAATTTATGTTTCTTATTTAAATTGCATTAAGCATAAGTTCTGTGAACTAAAAAAAATATCAAAAGTAATAATTACCAACGTATGTGAGGTATTCCTATACCACCGTGTAGAATTTTATATAACTTGGATTCATATAATAGTTGTGGATGCCGAGCACGCATAGGCTCCATTTTAACAGCAACTTCCTAAAATATCATGATATATATGCTTTAATTTATTGAAATATTCTAAGTATTTATATGCTGTACATTATTTTATCTACAGAGAACATTTGCATGTAATGTAAAATATTGGATAAATTTAGTTCTATTTACTTATAGACTGTATAAACTTAATTTTTATCTAATTTAAAAATACTATGACATATTACAAAAGCAGATGTACAGGTATTATTTACATTTATTATTTCTTAAGCACACAAATATGTATTACTGTACATAAAATATATAAAACTTTATCCAGAATGTACATTATGAAGCTTTAGGTGTTGTACAGAAATTTGCATATACATAACTTACCTATGTATGCACTTTATTTTGTATAAAAATAATGATATATATATATACATGGATTTATAAAATATAGATATAAGTGAAGTTTAATGTTGTTCTTTATTAAGTATTATAAAAATATTAAATACTATTGTATATACTAAAGATGATATGCGTTTAATATATTTTAAAATATATCATAGAACTCTGGATCATTGATCGCTGGCCTTAATGGACTGTGGATCATGGGCTTCAGCTTGTCCTATATGTATATAGGTGCAAATGCGTATATGTATGCATACATAAAGTGGTATATCAAATATTATCCTTTTATGATACATTAATGTTGGAAATAATAATTATTATTTTAATAATTCAATTCATGCTGCTTTATTCTATAAAGTAAATGTTGGATATGGAAAGGAATCACGATACAGTAATATGAATTATAAAAGAAAGTAAAATAAAAGTAACATGTGAAATAAAAAACTAAGTATTTTACAAACTCACATATCAATAAATAAACGATTTGTTATGTAAACAATGAGATAATAAAAATAAATTTTATAAATTTAACAAAAATAACATTTAAACATAATTTTGTTTGTAACAAAAAAAAGGGTACTTCAATTGTGCAGAAAAGTGTCACACTATATTAAAATCCATTTAAAACCTGTTGAAAATGTTTTATCACGCATATTATAAATACATATTTGAATTAAAGACAGTAGTCTACGAGCGATGATTATCTCATGTAAACAATATGTGCATCAATATTCAATGTTACATATAGAGGTTAATCATTGCAGAAGTTGGATAAACATTCATATTTTGATGAAATTGCACGTACAATTTTTGTAGATAATCAATTGATACAACGATGAAGTAAATGTAATTTTAGTAAAATAAGAAGTTTGTGTCTTGCAAATTTTTCAAGAAAAACAATGTGTATCTCACGTAACCAATAACGATATCATAGAAAACATATTTTGCACGAAGATTAATAACGGTAGCATAAAAAACATTTTCCACGATTCACGTCACACGGATTACTTGTTAAAAAGGTAAGAAAGAATAAAAAGAAGTGAGGAACTCGAGAAGGAAGATATGCTGGCAGGTCGTCTCACATGAAACGGTACTCCTTACCTCGCCATTAGCGATGTTGATACCGAGGTAAATGTCGCCAAAGGATCCAGAGCCAATCTTCCTCATCAGCCTGTATTTGCCACCCACGACAAAATCATTCTTTGCTACTGACATCGCCAACTGCAACGACATATTACTCTTGGCTTCCCTATTTCTGTCCTTCCTCCGCTAGAACCGACGACGGACTCTGCGACTGGCTCACGTCGGAATCAAACCTGATTTAAAGTACTAAGCGTACCCGGTAGGACTCATACGCCATGTACTGGCAAACCCGACGATGTTGAGTCTTTTCGAAGCCGTATCGATGGAGGATTCTCTTCTGTAAAATCTGTTCAGGAAACCGTAGCCAAAAGTCACTCTCTAGTGGCACAACAAAACCCCACTAACACGCCGACATTTTCCCTTTCGCTAGAAGCACGAGAGCAACTGACGTTGCGGAAACGATGCGTCACGGCGAGCGGCGTTCAAGTCAGAGTCCTTATCAATGGATCACCGTTGATTAACCGTAATATATTTTTCATCAAATTACGCGTAAATCTTTTATTTGATTAACAAGAAAAATTTCATTACGTTGCAGTGTGGGTTTAGCATTGCTACGAAATTTAATTGTTTGAAGTGACTCGCTTGAATTCGCGGTACTAGATTTTCTTCAGGGCCGTATTAATCTCATTACGGTTCTTCGACTAAACGATGTTTTTGAAAGTGATGTCTGAATAAAGAGATGCGATATTAAAATATTATTTCACTGGTTGATTGTTATTTGAAAGTTAAATACAAGCAAGCATTAAGGGAGTAACCAATCACTTTTAACGTTGCCATCAAATTTTATGTGATGGTTACAAAGTAGGCTAACGAATATAACAATTTGAAATATTATAATTTCTTTTCCCATTTAGTAGTAAAAATACTTTCTATAACATTAACTATTAATGAATAAAACTAATTGCAAAATTTAATTTGCAAAAAAGTAAAATAGTAATACAAAAATTGAAAGATTTAAGTATATGTAAGAATATTTACAGTTGTTACAAATAATGAATATAATTTCTATTTTCAATATATAATAACGCATTTTTAAGAACAATATAGGTCAAAACTATTATTATTTTTTAAATGATTTATACTTTACCTAAAGTCTATATACACCGCTGATATACCGGAACCTTGTGCTACTTATTAGGAACTGCTATGAAGTTATAAAAAACCTGTAAAAATTAAAAAACAATTAGTATTAATATCTACACCTTTATGAATAATACAGAAAATATATGTGTACCTATATATGATATTTCAAAATGTTGTAAATGTTTTTAGCGACATCTAATTGTAAATTTTATGGAGGAAGAAGTTGAATGTTTTTTTATATATTTTTTATTGTAATTGATGTTAAATTAAATTGTTAACAATCAATGGCATTTCTTTCTCACAAAGCAGTACGATTGTTTTCGCCAGCGTCTATAATAAATGTTGTTATAGGTACAAAAAGTCTTGAAAAGAAACTTATCATGACAAGTTGCTCGAGACTAGAGAAAGCTTTGGAAAAGCTTCAAAAAAATCCTTATTTCGACAAATATGCTGAAAAAATAGCGAAATATCAAGAAACAAAGCCAGAAGAATTCTTGGAACGTGTTGAAAGTCAAGAAAAGAAGCTGCAAGAGAAAAAAGGTATGATAACCTATACAACTTATACAAATAGTTTATTATTAGTAATATACTGAATGAAAGTCTACTTGATTTTGAAATCTTCATCTTATATGTTATTATTCCAAGAACTAGTATCATATTAGAACAGCATCAACTTTTATTTTGAGTAGTTGATTGTAAGTATCATTGGCTAATTTCATTTTTTATGTATGTATCATTCAATTGAAGAAAAACAAGAAGCAGAGCGTAAATTTTATCAGAGCCAAGCAAAACCACAGTTGGAACATGACAAACAACCTCAACAACCTCGATTAAATGATATAATGAAGGTGGATATGATTCAGGATAAAACTAAGGAGGAAATCATAAATATTTGGAAAAATTATCATGAAAATAAAGATTACATATGTGGCATATTAACAGTAGATCAATTTGATAAAATGTTTAAACATGGAAAGCAGTATTCTACATTTTTGTTACCATTACCTAGGAAAGAAGGATATGAGTTTATTGTCAGTCAATTTTATGGATTAGAGGTTCATATGACACCGCTCTTATGGTATCAGGCTCATAAAGAAAATGCCCCAGAATGTTTAACTATGGTTCATTACACAGAATTCAAAGATAGTAAAGGCATCATTCTTATGAGAGGAGAATATGACTCAAAAACTATTAATGTACAAGAAGCACAATGTTTAGCAAATGAATTACAATTATATTATTGCACAGAAAATCCTAAGAGATTGCAATTATTGGAAACCTTTACTAACAAACCAGATGCGTTTAAACACATGGATCTAATAGCACAGTTAGAAATATTAGATTTGAATACTAAGTGAATATTTATGTGTGAAATTCATTGTAATTATATATTTCACTTGATATTATTGATATTGTATATAATACAACCAAAATAAAATATAAAAATATGAAAGTTTGAGTTATTTATTTAAAATTAACAACTCAAATAATGCAGTTTCATATTTTATGCTCCTGTAGTATTTAAGTAATTTTAATGTATATACATTTGAATTCTAGTTCCAATTCATGCACCAAAAGGTCGTATTAAGTCTTTGTGGACATTGCCATTTTTGAGAAGAGGAGCACAATCGTCGTGGATTCATGTTAAGAAAAATAATTTTTCCCATCATGCAAATAAAAAATTGTATATTACTACTCCTATATTTTATGTCAACGGCGGTATGTAGTCGTGATTATAAAGAAAGTTAACTCCTGAATGGAAATACACGTCTCGACAGTATTTATAAAAATATATTAACTTGTCTTTTTTTCAGCACCTCATATTGGACACCTTTACAGTGCAGTTCTAGCAGATACTGTAGCTAGATTCAATTCTATGTTAGGACATTCCGTGTACCTGTGCACAGGTACAGATGAACATGGCACAAAAGTTCAAAAAGCTGCAGGGGCAGCGAATTTACCTACTATTGAATACTGTAATCAAATTTCACGCCAGTTTCTAGAAATGTGTGATATGTTTCAAGTAAAATATTCAGATTTTATTAGAACAACTGAGAAGCGACATGAAAAAGCAGTTCATCATTTTTGGGTTGTTAAATTGATCAGCTATTAATCCGTTTCGTGTTAATTGTCAGCTTGTAAAGAAACTAATGAAAAAACTGTAATTTTTCAGAATTGTTTAGAAAATAATGGACATATCTATTTAGGAAAATATGCTGGATGGTACAACGAAACGGAAGAAGCATTTGTCCCGGATAAGGAAGTAGTGAAAGAGGATTCTACAACTAACAATACTACAGAAGCGCGTACAGAATCTGGAGATACTGTAGAATGGATGGAAGAGGATTCTTATAAATTTCGGCTTACTTCCTTCAAAGATGACTTAATATATTGGTTGAAAAATGGTATACTTACAATGTCGCTATTCAATGAATTCGAATCGAAAAAGAAATTATTACTTATTTGATACTGGATTTAGAAAACGTAGTACAACCGGCAGTACATCGCAACGTGTTAAATTCTTATCTCGATGATCTGCAAGATTTAAGTATTTCCAGGCCTATCAAAAGAGTGCCCTGGGCGATTCCTACTCCTGCTGATAAATCGCAAACGATATACGTATGGTTTGATGCATTAGTAAACTATTTAACTTCGGTAGGATATCCAGACGATTCGTTTAAAGAATCTTGGCCTCCAACTATCCAGGTAAATATCTTTAACTTATATTAATATGAAACATAGTTTATATGATCATAACATATTTAGTCGGTATCTAAATTTTTGTAAACGTAGATAATAGGGAAAGATATACTAAAATTTCATGGCATTTATTGGCCAGCATTTCTAATGGCTGCTGGTCTTGAACCACCGAAACAGCTTTTGTGTCATGGACATTGGACTGTTGATAAATATAAAATGTCCAAATCTAAAGGAAACGTGATCTCACCTTTCGCAGTTGCAAATGATGTTACATACGACGGTTTAAGATATTTTCTTATGAGACAAGGGGTAGTAGATACAAATTCGAGTAAGACAAATTTAACGTTACGTTAAAAAGATTGATTTTTATTTTCGTCTATGGTAATTCATTTATCTCTTCCAGATTATAATTCCTTAAAAGTTCCAGAATTAATAAACGCTGATCTTGCCGATACGTTTGGTAACTTGGTTAACCGATGTTTCGGTAAATCTATCAATCCAAAAGGGATAATACCAGACCCAGTCGAATGCATAAATATCCTCAAGTCTGACATAGCTCTTAAAAACATAAAAGCTTTAGAAGAAGTAAGCGAGAAAGCTGGGAAATTTTATCAAGTGTATCATGTACATCACGTAATAGAGAGTACTATGGAAGTGTTGCATCTTGCTAATCAAATGTTAAATCATCACAAACCATGGGTCTTAAATAAGTCTAAGGACCTTAACTCGGCCAAAGAACAAGAAGCTGTGATAGCTTTAGCTTTAGAAAGTGTACGAGTGGCTGCTTTAATATTATATCCAATTATACCAAACTTAGCTTCCAATCTACTTGATTTTCTTCAAATTCCAATAGAGAATCGTACTTGGGAAGATACAAAACCGTTGAATTTGAGAAGTTCTCTGAACGGAGAGAAACACGTGTCAAGAGATGTATTGTTTTTTAAGAAAATAAAGATTTGAAGAATGTACCGAGTGTGTGAATTTTTAATGCTAAGCAAGGGAGGATTGTATATCATAGTATTATTAGGTACAGGATAATAAGGACATAGTAAATCATTCAAAATTTAATACTCGCGTGGAAGTCTTACGCTAATATATTTACAGAAAACGGTCATTCAAATATATCGTTAGTATACATCAACATCGTACACGTGTTATTCCGACAAAAGAGATTCATTTTCTTCCTCCTATTTCTCTGTCGTCGGAATACAATGTACTTTGCATCGTAGATATAGATGTATGGAAGAAGCTCAACGAGCATCGGTTGATCCTCGTTTTGCGAGGATTTTCTTCGTTTGGATATACGACGCAGATTCGAGTTAGATTCGACGGGTTGCACGACGAGTTTTGCGACACGTTAGCACCTAAACGAAAAATCGTTTAAAATGCAAAGGTAGGTGGATCACGTCTTGGTGTCCCGTCAAATAGAAAAATAAATAAATGATTATGTACAAGATGGAAAATGAATTTGTGCGGGTTCCACCGCGACCCTAATACTAATAAGCTACGATTCGACAGACGTTACTATTAGTGCTTCGTATAATATTCACTTTTACATCGTAGATTGCGCTATCAACACGATTTCAATAATTACAATTGCTTTACGAGAACGTATTCTAAGTACTATACTCAAATCTTTCTACACACGAATTTCTTCTTTTTTGCTTTTCAAATTGATATTTTTTCCTGTTCGATTTTTAGATTACCTTCTTTTTTTTTTTTTGTTGTTTTATCATAGATCGATTATGTCTCAGGGATATGTCTCGAACTACCTTCCGGTGATTGTCTTTACGTTAATTTTCTTTTCTCTTCTGTTTCCCTTCGAAACCAACGACTGGAAAGACCAAGTGTCGTTCGATTTTACTCACGATTTTATTTATATTTTAAAGCGACTGATAAAGGGGTGAATAATCGCGATAGAAAATCGTGAACCGTAGTTGATCGCGTGATTTCAAAAAATACGATTGCCGCGCCACTACGTATCGGCGCGCAAGTAGCGTTCGATAGGAAGATCGATATATCCGAGGGGTAGACTCGGATCGATTTATATCGCGCTGACTATAGTATCGCGGTGTCTTTGCGCCATTATTCCAACTTGACAACTGTCCGCGCTTGATCTCGGGCTAATATTACATTCGATCATAGACCCGTTTCGTTTTTGTACGACTACAGAACGGAATTCACCACATTCGCTGGTCGACGGTTGATTTCCCCGACTACGTGCACCCCTCGTCAGGATTCTCTTGAACGCTTCCCGGAACTCTGTGTTGAAGATGCTGTAGATGATCGGGTTGAAGGCCGAGTTGCTGTAGCCGAGCCAAGTGAGTACCTGTTACAGGATAATTAACTTTTTCTCATACATTTCTGTCCGCGATCACCGTCGTCGATTACGCTAAAAGATATAAATTGAAACGAAGCTCGTACTTGGAATGCTCGAACTGATATGCAGGTTTTGCAATATGCGGCGACGATATTTACGCAGAAAAAGGGTACCCAGCATATTAAGAAAACACCCATAATGACGCCAACTGTAATGGCGGCTTTGTGATCGGACACGTGATAGGGACTGGTCGGCTTCGTTTTCGTTTGCGGTTTCGGCGGCTTGTTCCGTGTACTCTTCGCGCGAAAACTCTTGGCCATCGAGGTATCTGGCAGTTTCGTTACTGCACGGATGCTTTTCACGTGTTTCTGTGCGTAGCAGTAGAGCCTGAAATCGCGATCACAGCCAGCTAAGATAATAACGTTACCGAGAATCTGTACAATATCATTGATCTACGTATCGGTGAACCTGCCACGAACGTACCTGCAATAAATCCCTAGCATTACGATGCAGGGCACGTAAAAAGATATGGAAGAAGAGACTACCGCGTAGGTGGGTGTAAGGTCTAAGGCGCACGTAGGGTGTTCCTGAAAGATAAGACGATTGAAATAGATAGATGTCGAATGATATAATCAGAGGTTAGGTTGATCAAAGACTTTCGGTTCGTACCTCTTTACCGTCGTCATAGATTACGGGTTCGTCTGCACGGTGAAGGCCTAGGCTGATCGGTACGAAGGATATGAGTCCAGCGAGCAACCAGACGATAGCTATCCCAGCTACCGCGACTCTTCTCGTTACCCAACGACCGTATCTGTAGTAACGGAAGTAAAGAAAGTTGCTTTATACATATCTAGCCTGTATAGGTTAGGTAAAATTAGTAAACTTGCCTGAGAGGATCCTTGATGTGAATGTAACGATCGAGGGAGATTGCGCAAAGGTTCAGAATGGAGGCAGTGCTGCACATAACGTCGAATGCGATCCATGTGTCGCAGAATCGCGGACCAAATACCCAATAGCCGAGTAGATCGTTCACACCGGCGAACGTCATAACCAGACAACCGACGAATAGATCGGCGATCGCGAGGGAGGCCAGGAAGAGGTTTCCTATCCTCCGTAACCCGCGGTCCGTGTAAATCGCCACGCAGACCAGAATGTTCCCCGCGACGGATAAAAATATCAAGATCAGGAAGAGAAATCCTGAAAGAACCAGGCCCCGAACCAGGCTGGACTAGCGAACGATCGATAGGCTTTATTTCGAACTTTATCGACGCTCACCCCTCGAAGAGCGTTCTTCTGCATTCAAATATCTAAATCCTCCGCTACGAGTATTTTTTACCACGTTTATACAAAAATTTGATAAAACGAGAAGGAGGGGGATAAAGGATGAAAATAGGAAGAGGATCGAACGTGTTTGGATAAAAGTTTTTGCAACGGAGGCTGCTCTCCCAGAGGGTTGTCTTCGAGGGGCGAGTCGCGATCGATCAAATGGGAAGTTTAGCGAACCAACTAGAAGCACCGACAACAGCGAGAAAGCGTCTTCAGGCAGATCTTCTTCCCCGTCTGTCAGGTTATTCTGTGAACGGAACAAAAGGAATCTCGTTAGTTCTATAGCCATTCGAACGAATCGATATATTCATAGTTGGTATTGACAAAAATGATAATAGGTAGATGCTCGATTAACCTTTCAAATAAATTAATAAAGAATTTACCGTCGCTCCATTTTCCTTCTTACGCGTTCTTTTTCTTGGAAAGCGTCGCAGCGTAAAGTCTATCGCTCGTCTAAAAATGTACCACGGGTTTCTGACTGAAGAACGGGGCATACTGTAACGCGCACGTACATTACGCGGATACTTCTATTTTCTGCCGATATTTTCCCGATATTTCACGGCAAAAGCTGTAGATACACCGGGAATACTCTCGAGATTCGTATTCACGGAGAATCGATACTACAGACGGACGAAAATGACGTTGGGTTTACAGGCTCTTTACTTCTGCCTGAACGCGTTGTCTGTCAAGCCGTTCTATCCCATCTCGAAGACACGTAAAAATATCGAGATGAAGGGTGGCTGGGTAAAACCTTCGGATACCTACTCGAACCAATATCTTTCTTACAACTTGCCTTTTTAACGGTAAACAAACGAAACAAGAAATTATGTTGTTACAACTTGCGACGAGTACGCTTGCTAGGAAAAGGGTTAACGAGAAAGAAATTCCGACAACACCTGTTATTTCCCTTCCGTCACATTCGAGTTTCACACTTTTAACCGTCAGTCGATCTCTTTCCTTTTCTCCAAACTTTCTGTCTATAAATTGACGTCATTTAATATCGATTCGCTGATCGATAAAGGATAGCAAATGTTCTTCGACGTGATTTGACGATGACAAGTTCAAATCCACTTGTCCCGACTTCGCTTTCAAGGTGGTCGTGTATTTTCTCGACTGTCCGGTTGGAAAGAGAAAAGGAAAAGCTTGCCACTCGGTTGCATTGATTTTCCGAACGTAGTAGAACGCATGCATATGCAGAAGGAAAGATTTTTATTACCCTTGTCGGAGACTATTCTTGCATTCTTTCTAAATAATTATTTAATTAAGGGCTCGGGATTAATCCGTTCAGAGGTCGATAAATTTCAGCGATTATTTTTCTCGCGATTCTGTTCTTCTGCCGGCTGTTTCTCGTCGTTTAACGGTAGAAAAAAAAAACACTGGAGAATTTATGTTTCGCGGGAATTTACGATTCAAATATGTAAATTTATCAAAACTATCTGCGGTAGGTATCGAGCATTGAAATTCCACGCTCGTACAATTCTCTCCTTCAGTATGCTACCGCAAGAAATATCCCGTTCCGTGATAAAAGAAGAGGAAAAGAATAAAAAATGAGTCACAGATGTCTCATAAATAACAATTTTATCACTTTTGGGATTATTTCTCTTTCGACGACGAAGTAAGACGACGATGTAACGCGATCGGAACGATACGTGACTTTTCTTGACGAACAACCGTACTCTGGTAGAAGAAAAACGGAATGAAAGAATCGAATAAGAGGTATTTGTAGCCGGCCGAGAAAAGAAAGGTTTCAAAGTTAAACTGAAAGAAATGTTCGACAGAGGGAATCGGGAGCATTCGAGATTTACGATTCGCCTTTCCCTTGTCCCTAGGGTCTAATTGCTCTTCCGCTTGAATTTCCAAGATCCAAGATCCAAGTTGCCCTACGATGATCACGAACCTTGCTTCCTTCGGACTTCCGATCGATTCGGTAAAATATCTCGATCATCCAACAATTCTCTTCCATCAACGCTTTGTTTCACGAAATTAATTAACATCAATTCTCCCGATAGATTTGAACGAACGAGTTTGTTAATTGTTACGAGAATATACGTTCCGTGTATATTTCACGGTATCACTTGTTATAATCGCCAATTAACTCTGCTCCCTTATCGTCGTAAACAGAACGAATTTGCGTAAGCTAAAACTCGTTAAGCAGCTGTAGAAATCGCGTAACGTAGGATTTACTCGTTTGCTGGGAAAATGTACGATTTATTATAATATCGTAACAATGCATAAAGTCCTTGGTCCTTTTTCCTTCTCCGTTAATTTGTTCTTTCTTCTCCGAGCCTTCGATGAATCCTGGAGCCAACTTTTCGAACTTGCCGAAAGTTCATAAGGGCTTATAAGTTTCCTCGATGGCGACCATTAACGATATACCGTACATATACCTATATATTTAACGGACCGGGTTAAATACTCTGTTCGTTTGAGTTATTCGGAAAGTTCCTCGTTTTTGATCGAGAAAACAAGAGGCAAAGATACGTATCGAATACGGCAATTAATACGGATGATTATTAAGGAAAAATCGGAGAGGAGAGATTGGATTTCGGTCGTCTAGTCGAGAACCACGGGCATATAGGCAGCTGAAAGTTTCGCGAGTTGGAAATTACGAGCACCCCGAGCGATAATCGCACCTGTTGGCCCCGAAGCTTGAGCTGAGAATCAATTTCCAGAAGTTCTTGTCGGCGTACTCGTGCGAAAAGGGAAGGGACTCGCCGATATCTCGTTAACCCGAACCGATTTCACGGATTAAACGGCTGGGATCATTTTCCGCTAAATGGAAAATGCGATCAGACGCCCTTTCGATTCGACTTTGTCCGGATTTTCTCGATAAACGGTTCTTGCTTCGAACATTATCACGATTTTTCATCGGAATCCTTAGTCGGAAATTGTCGAAACGGGTACCGTCTGTTTCCTGAAAAAATCTCGACGGGTTTCGATTGATGAGCCGCTTGAAAATTTCTCGCTGACAAGCGTTATTGTGTTTTTTTCCCCAAAGCTTGCAGCGAAAAAGGGAAATCAAGAGAACGAACGAACGAACGTGACGCGATACGGGTGTGGCGCGTGTTTGTTCGCAGAAAATTCGTGAAAACTGCGAATAGCAAACCGTGGACTTGGAGAGCTATTATTCTCGATCCGATTTGCGGAAACGATGCTTTCAATTAACGAGCTTTCGTTCCGATGGAATACATATTTTCAGCATTCCCTCATTTTCCACGTAAGCCGCGTTTCCCGTTATTTCAATTAATCGCGTCTCGTAATTGAATCCTCAACATCCGTTGTTCCGTTCGTTGGTACAGGTAAATCGTTCGATTAATTTGTTTAAAATTCGACGATGATTCGGATGTTGCAACGTAATTAAACGGATCTCGTTTAAAAAGAAAGAAAAACTTTCGTTCTGTTTAATTATCTTCCTCGATAACTTTCGTATCGTTGTAATTCGTTGAACAAGCGAGGACGTAATAAAATTCCGGACTTTTGGATGAAATTACTTACCCGCTTAACTCGATGTCGGGATAAAAATGCTTTGCGCTGGTAAATTTTCCCGATAACGTTACAGAAAGACGATTGTTTCGAAACAAAGTACATCGTCTTGTAATATTTGCAAAAAAACGTGCTAATAGCTTGTTCGTTCGATCGAAGCGATTTAATTGACGACACTTGGGTTCCGTAAATTTCGTAAGCGGTGTTTCGTATCTCGATCGAACGTACTGCTGATAAGGCGTGTAACATGGTAAGCAAGCTGTTCAGAGTGTATTGGCTGCGGTGGTGGCGGTAGTTGGTTAGCTAGGTAGGCTATCCTCTACTCCTCTCGAGTAGACTATGTGTTCCTTGATAGTAGATATTTTGGTAGTAACTAGGAACGGTTTGGTCGCCTATTACACTCGATAACGTGGAATCTGTTCAGTGAATTCAAGAGATTCGAGGGTGTAAGGGCGCATGTCCGGGCTAATTAGAGCATTAACGGGCTCGTTTGTCATGGCAGAGGTAGTGTAACAAGCGATTCTGCTGCTCGTTAAACACCCATCGTCCTAAGGCAGTTCGCCTTTTCCCTTTTTCTCCCAAGGTTTCTTTTCGTTCGTCTCGTTACACTTAACGTTCAGTCTTCGAAAGCAAAGGACGAATCCGCGATGACAATAAAGTGATACGGCGGATATAAAAGGCTTCGACGAGTCGATAATAAAGCTGTCGGCTGTTAAGCGCGTGCCTCGATGTCTCGTTGCTCTTAATCTCGTAATACAGGGATTAACCGTAAATTTATCGTTATTATACTATTACGTTCTTGTTATCGGCACTCTGAAATTGATTTCCGACGGAATTGGAACGTTATTTCAGCCACGCTCGAAAGACGAACGGTAGACCGGGTTTTAATTTTAATTCTCTTTCAACTGTTATTAATACGTTCGCTGGGTTTTATTAAAAAATAATATCCCAGCAATTCGTGGTTATCGTGCAATTTCGAACGTTTATACGATTTCCCTATTTTTCATTAGTTATTTTTCCAAGAGATAAGAGATCGAACCTTATCGAGGATTTCATTCGTATTCCGCGTCAACATCGATTCCGGTCAAATATCCATTAACCGATGCCGGCTGTTTGCGTTGATGTAAATTATATTTGTGTTCCCTCTATGTAAAGGGAATTTTAATGTAAACGATTTTATTTCCATTGTTTCCAATGATAATCTTGCGTGGGGTTTTAATTGAATTTCAAACATTTCGCCCGTAACGTTAATTAATTGATGCGAAAGAAAGTCAAGTATTATCAGAAGGGAGAATGAATTTTAATGAAATTACACGCGCGGAAGAGTGTCTGTATTTCGCAACGAGCTTTCGATCGGTGTCTAATAAATTTAAGAGGAACGGATTTCTAGCCGAAAATAGTGGAAATAAATTAGTATGAGAAGCTAGGGTAGATGGAGGTCATCGAGAGCAGGGCATTGGTCGATATGCCAACGTCTCCTACCTGCAGGTGCACCTGAGGTCATACCCCGGCTAGCATAACCTGCGTTCAACGTTTAACATTGCGTGTACAGATTCTTTCTTTTTTCTCCCTTTTCCCTATTCTCTTAGAAACGAAAAATGAGTGTTTCGGATTTCTTTCGAAGCAACTCGCTTATTTGCTGTTACAGTTTGTCACGGTTCCCATAAGGAACGGAAAAGTTTTTCCTCGACAAGAACGTCTTCAGCATCCCCTTATCGGAGTCGTTTCCATCCTGCGCGAAAAATGTAATTTTCCGTTTCATCCTCGGGGCAAGCCACTCGTTCGCCATTCAAAACCGAGTCTTTCTTATCTGCCCGATAACTTCAAAGTCTTCGTCGAGACTTCTTTTGAATAGACACTCTTAATGACACCGTGATTCGATCATCCACTAACTTTTCCACACGTTCGCATTCGAATTCCGCGGAATGAAATTTTTGTATTTGGAATTCGCTGGAATTCGCGAGAACGCATCTTATTCTTTAGAAAATGAGTCAACAGGTAGATTGGAGCGATTCTCAGTGGTAGTATTCCCGAGATAAGCCGAATCTATAAATTATTGCCGAGGCAAACAGTTTTCGGTGAAACGTAAGACAGTCGAGGGAAATTCGAACGATAGATAGAGAAATTTACGCGTCTGTCAGGGTTGCTCGGTTTCATTGGGAAAATTGAGGAGCATTGTCAAGTAAATTCGTGGCACATGCCGGGTAGTTTATTGCCAGTTTCCTTGGTGTTGTAACGAGAAAGCAATTTCCGTCGGCAGGTCTTCCGACTGAAATCCGTTCTCTTCGCTTCCGGTTGCAGAATCGAGGGAAGAGGCAGATGTTATACGGGGAAAAGCTGGAATTTCCACGATGACGATTGTTAATTTCGTTCGTTGAACATGACGAGGGAAGGTTGTGCTTGGATCTCGACGATACGACGTTGCTTATATTTGTCGGAAATGTAATTTTACCACCGACACGGGCTAACTGGATTTCATTAATATTCTATTGTTCGGTTTCCCTCGAGTAACAGATGAATCAAGTCGACAGAGACGAGGGATAATTTTATAAATGTTACACCTACGCGAACGAACGCCGGTAGATTAGTCGTTAAGCTTGAAAAATAGTAAAAAGATGCGGCAACAATTTGCATCGATTTACTTGGTGCACTTTTAATCCAATCGGAGGTCGGTGAAGGAAGAAAGTAAATTTTGTCGCGCGACGGCTGATGGAACGAATTTGTAACTTAAAGAAGATCGGGGAAAACGAAGTTTTTGCAGTATACTAGCGTGCTACAATCCTCTTACGCTTCTCCATCCTCTCTCCGACTTTGCATGAATATTCCCGGTGCAATTTTTCCACGTACGCGCCAGGTTTAATCGAATCAAAGTAACTCCGCGGAAAAATTAAGTATATTTTTCAGGATTAAACGTGAACTTTATGCGAGTAATATAAAGTTAAACAAAATTCTGAATACGAAAGATATTTTTACCATCGCGAATTTAGTTCACCAATCTAATACGGATCCACCAGAATTTCCGGTATCCGTTGCAATCTAGTTATAGAAGTACTTTAGAAAATGAATCGCCGAACAGCTACAGAATACGTAGAAAAGATCAATCAATCAGAGGTAGGTTTAATAATTTCTTTCATTTTTTCACCCTGTATAGAGATTATTAAACATTAAATCGAATAGGGCGCAAGCAGGCTCGCACCCTTTTCGAGCGTGTAACGTTGAAAAGTTCTTTTAATTAAGATCTCGGCGACGTTGAAACGAGTGATAATTAAAATTCTTTAATTAACGCGCGCAAGTGGATCGGGTGGATTGGTTCTCAGCTGGGAGAACGCGGTGTCGCGTCGAGTCGGTTGTTTCTGATAATCGTCGAAAGTTTATTTTTAAATGGCGATACGAAGGCGAAGGAAAACGCGTTATAACCGATGGGGAAATGGGAGGCAAAGAAGCGGCAAGGTTTCGAACGGAGAAACTTTCGCAACGATCGATGCGCCCGCTGAACAATTAATATTATTACTCGCGGAGAAAGCTTCCGATCAAAGTTCTATCGAACTCTCATTACATCGAGACGGTTCGGTGAAAATTGAATTGCTCGGTCAGCGGGTACGAACGATTACTATTTCTCTAAAACATAATCTTCTTACCGTGTACAGTGTGCTTTGGTTACCCTCGTTGTATAAACGATTTGAAAATTTCGTTTCTATGATATACATACACTGGTTTTAACAGTTTGATTGCTATTAAGCCAGTTGTTATAGCATGTTGGTACGTCATTTGCAGACAATAATTTCTCTACAACTAGAATCCACGATAACAAGGTAACCGCGAAAGCTAACGAACAGGGTGCAAACACCTTAAAATTAGCTGTTCATTCATCAGGAGAAGAACACACTCTTTCTCGTCTGATCGCCGCTAATTAACTCGTACGCGTGTTTTCTAAGAAAATTCTAATTTTTCAAGCTTACGGCAGAGGTGAAGTTAAAGCGGGGATAAATCGTAAATTCTAATCAGCCAGAGAGAGAGTAAATTCCCGTTAATCCGTTCACTGAATTCTCTGTCAAAACGAAATCGGATTACCAACAACTTTGTTTGCAGCTTCGTCGAATCGCTTCGACGTTCCTCGCGCAAGGGGATACCGAATCAAACTAATTTTCAAGTATCTCATTTACGCTTGATCGAACGAACATCGCAAAAACAACGGAAAGCTTAAAAGCGTGAATCTACTAGGTTTCTCGTTAATAGAAAGTCCCAGTGCCTTTTGATGAATTGACAATGTTCGAAAGCGGGCAAGAATATAGTGCACTTGCGGAAAGCCCATTGAAACTTCGATATTTCGGCCCTGTTTGCTCGACTCTTCATTTATTCAAGCATTATACCCTTCGAGCAATGGCAAAGTCTGCAGTGCGCGTTTATATATTAATGAACTCCGCTTTGAGTCCTCGTGTCATCGTACTAAGCGTCGTCTATAAAAACTTGCCGAAATTAATTTCGTTTCGAGGAAGATATGACATTTAAGAATTGGAACGAAGCGGAAATTTTATTTTAGCACGAACAACCTTTCCCTCTGGATATAGGATTCTTTCAATTAGTAATCCTTTCGTAGTTGAATCTGAACGGATCGTTAAGGGGTTATTCGAAAATCAAACGAACGTTGATAACAGCTCGCAAAGGGATGCTCTCGAATTAATTAGTGTATTCCTGGTGTCTAACTGACAGGAGCACTTGAACATCCTACGAGGATGGTGCATACGCGAACGTCATAGTGCAACGTGGCAGGGTGCATCGAATGTCTGGTGCATTAATCCGTCGCGGCAAGTAACATGCCGTATAATCGGGCTATTGTAAGTGTGAATTTGTGCAAACGGACTGTTCCGCCAGTAGCGGAATTTCAGGGTTGCACGTATAACGATAAGTTCTGATTTTATTATTATTTTCCTCAGTTGGTCAATTGAAAAGTTAAATAAACACGGATTGTTCCTGAAATATTGTGTAATTCGGTGTATCGCGAAACATTTTAGAGGTAACGGGTATTGAAAATTTGGCCAAGTGTATTCGGATTAGTATATCGAGCAATGCCAGGCATTGACCGAAGCAGTGGCCACAGATAGATAAAGCATCGTATGCATCGCGTATCCATTATGCATGCATCGCGACCAAACACAGATAGCTACGCGTTGTTGCATTTGCCAATTCTCCGATAGTTAAAACAACCCTCGAGTCGATCGAGTGAATTATTTCTCGATGCACTCGACGGAACTGTTGCCTTCTATATTTCCCTCCCGTTTAAATATTCATCCCTCGATCACGCAACAACCATTACTTTCGTTAGAGGATATAGCAAATAAAGGAAAATGGAAAGTTTGCAAATAAATCGTACGTTATTGCGTTACTTCGATGCGATTCGTAGGCGTACGATTTTTCGGGGCTAGAGTACGGAATTTATATTAGAATTTCGTGGATGTTCCGTCGGTTTGGAATGCGGCTTCTCGAAATTTACAAGTAATACCAAGACTATTATCGTTCCGGAGTAATTGCGCCAGCAAAGTTGCATTATACACGCAGCTACACGAATGCTTCCGGAATATGAAAATGATCGGAGTCGACAACGTTTGGACAATGGACTTTCTAATTAAAACTTTGTTCTAATACAACTGCCTCTGGCGAAAACCCGTGCAACCCAAAGATGAAACGTTACTTTACACCGATCGTTTTCAATTCGCTTCAACTATGCTTGTATTAATTACTCTCAGCATCAAAGTAAATTTACACACGAGTTTTATGAAATTTTCTACAATAAACTCCGTCGGTTCTCGTTTGATTTCGTTCAAACATTGTGCGAATTCATTGAATATTAGATCCCATAAGTTGCTGCCATTTTTCATATCGATGTTCCGAGTGAAATATTGAACCTATCTTTGGATATCGTTTCTCTTGGTTTTTTTTCTTCAAATATGTCGCGATGGGAAGATGCTTTCGCGTAGATTGAATAGAAAGCAAGGTGTGCATAGCTTTTAAGCTTTCCATCCGATGGTGTAAGAGTATAGATGGTGGTTGCAGCGACGTCGTTACAACAACCATCGTCGCCTATTTTCGGTTTTTCCAGTCCCTTGCTTCAGCCTGAATTCCCGATATTTTTATCGAAGCCGTTCGCCATGCTTAAAATCGATACACCGATAATGCACGGACACTTGCAAATATACATACAATCGAACCGGTGGGGTGCCTTGTTTCCCTGCCTCTTATTTTCCATTCACGCTCAATTTCTATCTTTTCCACTTTTCCACGGTAACGATTCTTCGAAACGTACAGTTCACTTATTTTACTCGCGAGTATACGCCGCTGTTCAAATACCTTTATGTACAAAGCTCCGTATGTACCGAACAGTATCGTGTAAATGGAGTTTATTAAAAAGAAAAAAAGAATTCTTGCCGAGTTGGAAGCTGATGTTTTCTCTGTGCAGGTTACAGAGAAAATAGCCCGCAACGGAATACTGTCTCTGTTTCATTATTCGCAAGCAAAATAAGCTTTTTGTACTTTCCAAAACTTGAAGCTTGTAATTTTCCGCGTGTATCCTATTTAAAGGGAATTCATTCGTCCATCCGTTCTTTCTGGCTCTCTTCCCGTGATTAATATAATTATCATCACCGCGGTATAAATTGTTTTATGTACAGGGAATTATTTAACCTTCGATGGTCAATTATCGGAGCGGTCTGTTTGTCAGGTTTGCAAACTATAATCTTCGAATATCCTGCGGCTGTGTTGAAACGTTCGTCGGTTTCGATGGTATAATGAATGAAATTAAATAGACGAGGCGGTTTACCCGACGATTACGGTCTCTTCTGTAGGAAAACTCTCGTGGTCTGTGATTTATACGATTACAGAGCTACGGGTTAACGATAAATTAAATTCTTGGTTTGACACTATTCAGATTCGAATTGGTAATGGTGGAAAAACAAGTCCGAGTTAATTAATAAGTCCTCGATCGAACTTCGCAGATATCGAACCACCCTTTTTCCAATTAGTCTGTCGAAGAAAGCTACGGAGCGAGGGTTTCCATTTTCGTTAGAACGTGACGACGTCTGTCGGACTAGGGTTACTATATAAATTCAATCTAACCAAGGAAAGTTAGGAGGACGAAGTACGAAACAGAATAAGCCGCGGCAGTTGCGGTCCAACTTCTCCTATGCATCGCCAGGATATCGAGCTTGGAAAATTGATGTCGAAAGTTGTCGAGGAAATCTTAGAATTAGTTTTAACAGAGAATATGGGAGAAATTTCGTGCGTGTTGTCTTCTTGGCCCGAATGTATCTGGGAACGCAATCGACGGTGTTAATTACGTTGCCAAGATCGATCGTCTTGCGTTCTGATTACAAGTAGACGTGACGGAGGGAGGCTCGCAATGGCGTCGTTTTCGAAATCCAATGGTCCGATAACCAGGCAAATAGCCTGTAATAAGATTGAAACGCGTGATATTTCGCGATAGATACCGTCGTTAAATTTTACGAATGTATAATGTCGGATGAGAATGTTGGGGTTTAATAATGAGAAAATTTATGGGAGTATAGAGACGGGGCGAAATAATGGATCGGGTAACGAATTTCATCAAACATTGGAAGCTTTTCTTCTCGGAGCCGCAATGATTGATCGACGAGACGCGGTATCGAGTGTTATTAGGAATAATAGAAGAACAGGTGAAAGAGGGAATAGGCGGATGAAAAACGGTGACGAGGTCGTAGATAATTTCTCGGCTGGAAGGTATGCTTATCTTTATTCATGCAGGTGTTTGTCCCATTGGGGTAGGATGGTACGCGCGAACTTGTCGCACCAGAGGGTACTAGAGCTCCCATATCCATTTCCAATCGAGCCAGAACGCAATTCCCCTCCGCGGGCCGTAATAATGGAATTTCGGATGTCGATAAAACCTTTCTGACAGTTAATTACAATATTGTTTACCACTTTGTGTCTTCAACGCACTGGTAGCGCTATATAATATCTCCGTTTCGCTTTCATTTCTTCTTTTTTCTTTTATTCGTTGGATTTTAAAGTTGCTAAGGGTAGGGTGTCGACTTTGTGTCAGGACCGAGAGAAACAGCTTGAATCACGAATTGCCATGATCCAGAATCTCTGGGAGCTCCGTGGGCGTTGTTCTACCTAACTTTTGCGCGATAAGATGATAATAAAAAAAAAATGGAAGAGAAAGCTTTTTTCGAGGAACGAACGAGTTCAAGCGCGACTTTGCAGCAACGAGGATCCCTCGGGAACAATATTCTGATCTCCAAAAATCACCGCGCTTACCCATGGAATTCATTTCGATTTCGTGGCTTTTCGACAGGGTAATCCGATTCCGAGCGATTTCGATAAAGCTATCGATCGATCTTTATGAAAAATGGGAGAGCAGAATGGTAATACTAAAATCGTGTTTCCAATTGTACGGGTGAATGTATATAAAAAAATTGGGGGATGAAAAGTAAATCGAAAGGGATGCCGTAAAACGAAATCTGCTTTCGAATCTATTTCATCCATTTGTCTGTACATTCGTTCCACGTATTATAGATTATCCATATTAATTGGTTACAGAACGAGCGGGTAATCAAATATATCCGCCGATCGAAACGATTCCATTTCCTACGAATGTAAAAGTTAACCATACGTGCGTCGATTAATCTTCGATCGATTATTCGTTCGGATAAACCGTGTATAATCCAAGTCCTACGGTGTATTTCGGTTTAACGAGGTTCCAATCGAATCGCAGTTTTATCACGATTTCCACGAGCATCGTTTCCGACTGCTTATCGCAGCACGGATGCAAAACGGAAAGAACAGTAGATACCGTAGAGAGACATTTATTATTATCCTGAACTGCAGAATAACCAGTTCACTGTTATATTTGCATTCTCGGTCAAGTACTTACTCGTCGAACGACTTTGTTAACGAATTAAAACAGTAGTATTGTAGCTATTCAAACGAGACTTAAAAGCAATTTGCTCTTCAATTCAGAAGAAATTCTGCTATACAGGACCGAATGGAAAAGTAATTTCCTTTCGAAAACAACCGCACCGCAATTTCTTCTTCTGCAAACGAGTCTGTAAAAATCTTCATCAAACGAGATGCACCGAATGTTTAAAGTTTACATTCGCTTCGTAAAGCGAGTGAAAGATAGATTAATTCGTCCGACTGGTAGATTTACCAGTGTACAAATACCAAGCAATTATTATTTGCTCTACCTTCTACGCGCAAAGTAGACTCGAAAATATCGCAATTGCAGAGCGGATATTTAAACGTCTCATTAAAAACGGACGAACGGGATCGCAAGCTTCGCTTTTATATTTTGAAAGTGGACCGATTCGAAAGTAGGACGGAATAGAAATAGCTGAGCGGTATAATAAGGGCAAGGCGGAATGTTGCGAATTGCAAATTGCGTTTGATAAAAAGCAGAATCCGGGTAAAGTTTCAGCGAACAATGAGAGAAGAGGAGCGCGGTATAAAATTGTCTGGGCGAATCGGATGGTGGTCGTGAAGGGTCGAATAAATAAACGAGCCCCGAAAGGCTAAGTTTTAAAGTTCGGTCGAAAATTAGATTTCCTCTGGTCGTTGTTTATTCGGCAAAACGCGTACCACCGGTGACGTTGAAAATAAACAAAGGGACATTGTTCCGCGTATTCACAGGAACGCGGCAATTCTTTTTTAATAGACGAAAATAACGCAAAAATAGACAACACTGGCGTGAAATATATATATATAAAAAAAAAAAAAAAAGAGAGATGATTTTTATTGGCAGAGAATGAACTGCGAGAGAACGATTGTTCGTTTCGATAAAAGGTGCGAACGAAGCATTTATTATTTGTTCGGCCTTTTGGAGAGCGATGCCAATCGACGCGTTAATTAAAAATTTTTTCATTGTAATGGTCGGAACGTTTTCGATCGGATGATCCGGTTAAGCTCGGTTTGTAAAATCTCTCCGGACGCGGTGATCCTTGAAACATTACCGGTGAACGTCTTCGATGAAGCGATTTAATCGAGAGTTTACCAAGTTCGATTTATATTTAATGATAGGATACAGAGCGTTCTTTCGTCTCGAGTATGTTGTACACGTACACGTCGAACAATGAATAATGGATGTCGATAGAGGGTAAGGAAAGAATGATAGACAAAAGCGGGCGAATGCATGCGATTTTTCGCGGTGGAAAGCCATGAAAGATAGCGATTCCAAGGGGATCAGGAATTTCATTTGGTGAAATAACGAAAAAAATAAAAACAAAGGAAGAAAGGCGACGATGGTGAAAGAGAAATGTACGGTCGGAATTGTCGTAAATAAAATTGAAAATGAAAAGAAGAAATTTATTCGGCAACAGTAGGAGAATTTTCGGTCTGCGAATTATCGTGGCTCGTAAATCAAACGGGACCGACCGAACACGGGTTCGTGACTGCTTCTAAACCTGGTAACGTCGAAAAATTCTCGATAATCGATGTCGAACGGTGGCTGTTTATATTCCTGGCCGGAATAAAATTCATTTTCCAGCACGATTTCGTGCAGCTGCCACGGAATTGTACGACGGGCCGGGACGGAACGATAGATTCGCGCGTTTCGATTGCAGAAAGTAATGAAGTGGCTGTCCTGCTCGTTCGAACCACCCCGACGATACGTCATTTACGGTAGAGAAGGTCAACGAGCTGGAAAATTAGCTGAGAAAACTGAATGGGGGATAGAAAATGCACGGATCTCGTCTTTCCAACGGTTCGCCGTTCTTTCTTCTTTCACCTTTAGATCCGAACAAATTTATTCTACTTCGAGGAGATGATAGAGAGGGTTAGTGGAAAAATATTCTGTAAGAATAGAAAGTTTTCGCGACTACGTTTAATGAGACAATTTACCGCGAAACGATCAGTTTCTCGTTAACGAGACTTTAATTAGATCTCCACCGCGTTTACGTCGTTGTTTCTGTTTATTCGAAAATTTTAATTTCATTTTAATTAGCAAAAACAGGCGTCGTGTCACTAGCGAATTCTCGTTTATATTCTCGTTGCAACGCAGCAGCTTGTTGCGAGATTATTAACAAGCCTGTTCGTGATTTTTTCCAATTAAGCGTTTTAATTATAAGCTACCACGATGCGACGCGACATTGCGACATTGCGTTTTTTCGCTCACCCTTTTCTTTTTCTACTTCGTTCTTCTTTTTTTTTTTCCTTTGTAAATCTCGTCGCGGTGTTTGGGGGTTGGAAAAAAAACAGGGCAGGTAATAAATCGTGCACGAAGACATTTCGTAACGCAAAACAAAACGGGAGGACACGAATCTCGAGCATTTATCATGTCGAAGGTCTGGTTGCGGTGACTGATATTAATTTTCTTCTCTGTTCGTGGCAAGAATGCGAAATTACGGTTCGCCGTACACACCGAGACCCTACCACTTACACCGTGGTCCTTTTCCTACCGTGTACTAAAACTTTCGACGGCTTTTAGTAATTTTTAATAGTCCTCCTTAAGAGCTTCCTTTCATAATGGAAAGCTTTGGAACTTGGCAGAAACTCCTTTATATCTCTGAGCCTCTTTCCTTAAGTAAGGAAAAATCTGTTGATATACCTACGTTAATATAGATTATTTGTTTGTTTTATAATTTGTTGATTTAAGATCGCGTCTTCTTCTGTTCGGCAATGACAGTAAAACGATATTCGAAAGCCAAGAGTGCTCCGCCAGTGGAAATCGAGTGGAAATTTCGTGAGATCAATTCGAAAGGCAAATTTCGAACATCTATTCGATTCCGTTGTTCTCCGTTCGTGTAAAGCGATTCACCGCGTAAGCATTTTCAGCGGGAAGATGATTTCCTTGGAGAGAATCTCCCGAATGAAGAATGAAGTATCGACACGTTTCATCGATGCCTCTGAAGAAACGAGATAACTTAAAGATTACACGAAAGATTCAGGTTGCTTCTTGATTATCACGAAAATTCAGGGAGCAATCTCGAGCAATTTAGCAGCCGGATGCCTCCAGTTTCAGATAATATTTTAACTATCTCCTAAAGCCGTAACTTTCCAACGTTTGTCTTAATCATAAAAGATAACATCCTATGGTATTATCTCCGACGATGGCCGATATTCTAAGCTTTATCCACGGAATTTTACGCTCGCTTCAGTATTCGTTGTCGGTGCGATACTGATTTCGCGTCAGTTTATTAGTCTTCCACCGTTCCTATAAACGATTATCTTTTAAAGGAACAATTTATCTTGGCTAGAATATCCCGTCGAATATCGTAACAAGTATATCACGGTACAACGTTCATTCTAATCAAATTAAATCCCTCTTAATTAACATATTCGATCGAAGAAATTCCAGGGGGATAATTTTTCAGAAGCCATAAAAATCTTTGCTAGTACACCCCGAAGTATTACCGAATTGAATTTATAAAGGAAGCCGATATTGCAACACGCGTAAAATGGAATTTTAAAACAGGTGTGCTGCAAGCCTTAAAACACTTTCTACTTTAAAATTGGGTGGAAGGGTGAGATAAGCTTATTGCATATTACTAAAAGGCTCGTACGGGCCGCAGACGCGAGTTTCATTTTTTTTTTTCTTCAACTTTATCCCACGTGAACACTTTGGAAACTTCAAACAACACGTAGACCCTAATGGTCGAACTTTTAACGAATAAAAGGATTATTCGCGGTAAGAAAATTTTACGGAATAAATTGAATTTTAGCCGATGGATCGTGTTTGTATCGCGTTTACCATTATACGAAAGGGCACGGTGTGATACGGTTTGGTAAATCGTAACGGTCCTCGGGCTGTTTATCTTTGATGATGTAATTAATGGACGTGGAGAAAAGAGAGGCGGCTGTGGACTAGGATAAATTATGTTAACGCGCGTTTCATCGCAATATTTCGCGGGACCACACGTGCAATTTGCATTCCGATCTAATTACCATTCGATTTGCGAGAGAGCACAGCTTTCCGTGATGTCATCTCCACCCCGGTGCCATAACGACCACGAAATATGGCTGTTCCCTGTTTCAACTCGTAAAGTTTGAACCGAGCGATTTTCAAGCTTGCTCCATCGACCGACCACTACGTAATTTCAATCTACAAAACGATTCTGATGAGAGATGGAAAGAACATTAGAAAAAGGAATGCCCCTGTGCCGTTTCCCTCGAATTTTCAGCTTCTTCCATGCTTGTTATTGTTTTGATCAGACGATTTGTCCGGGTATCTAGACGACACTCGAAGGAAATACGATTGGAACCTGTCGAAGGTAGCCGTGTATCTATCGAGATTTATAGAGGATAGTTGGAGATAAGGAGAGAAAAGTGCTATCGTGCAAACGGTGACGACTCGACCCCATAAATCTGTTTCATAATACCAGAATTTGTAAGGTCGTTTAATAGAAGTAAATAAATTGGGCCGTACATGTTTCTTGATTTATGGAGGAAAACTTGAGAATATGGAAATGATAGTAACTCCACGTGTTGAACTCGAAGGGTTATTTAATAGAAATAAATAAATAACACCACTGGGACGTGATAATGGTGGTGGTCGTGTAACTTTCTCGATTTATAGGGTAAAGTTTGAATTAAAGAAACAAGGACGGTTCGATGGAAATGGTAGCTTAGCTAGGATGCTACAATTCCGGCAGATAATCTCGTTAATGGAGTCTGCGAGTAGAATTCATAAGGTCCTTTAAATTGAACACGTTTATCACACGCGAAACGTCTATTCCTTCTTTCGATATAGATTTGTCGATAGAATAATTACCTTCGCTTCAGAAACTATGAAACTTTCGTTCCATTAATCTTTTCGAAGGGAAACGACTCGAATAAACGTAGCGATTCACCGTTTATTTACAAGCCAGATTCGTTTTAATTCAAATTTCACAACTGACGCCTGAGGAATAAGCTTTGTTTTCAACACTTCTTGCACCGAGTATTTCCGCTACGCTGATCGAATTCGTTATCAGTCGCGTCTCGTTTATTTCTCAGCGTAACGTTTTAATTACAAACCGTTTCCACGGGTAACTCAGCTTCTCCTGTTTTTCAAATATTAATATATTCTTCCACCGAATATCGCAATCACCACCGGTTCTGGCTTATCTCGGATGCAAAAGTCAACCTTCGTCCGCTGTGCACGTTGAGAAACTTTGCAATTATTTTTACCCTGCTCCGGGCAAGTTGTATACAGTTGACTGGCGAGAAAAATAAGGTTGTAATAGATTCTTTTCTTTATCTAGAGATGGAAGCTCGGAGTTATTAGAAGGAGAATCGTTAGGGTGAAAAAAAAAGGGAGAAGTTCAGTTGTCCTCCGACAAAGGGAACGACACAGGCCGCTTATTACGGATTCGGTTGAAGGTTGATCGAATTAAGTTTTAAAGCGAGTTAATAGGCATGCAAAGAGGGCGTAGGTGAGAAGAAAGTCCAAGGGAAATTTCCACGGTACAGAGACTCGTTAGCTGCCGTTCGGTCAGTCCATCGACGAGCTACTATGTAGAATTAAGGGCCCTACTGAATTAACCAACTCGCTTACTGTTCTTTCCACCCATTTTACCAGCAACACCACGATTCGACAGAATTTCACGAGTAATTGAATAACTGAAGGAGAATGCTGCGGGGCAGAAATCGGAACAATGAATATCCTCGTTCGCAAGCTTTTCTGAACATTTTCCTGCGTCCCTATCGCTTCATATTCCTATATAAACATTCTCGATGTTTGTTCGCTGGAACTGGCTAACAAATTACCATCGTTGCCTTAAACTCGCGATTCTCTGCTTTATTCCAAAATTCTAAACCCTTTCACGATAGACAGACGGTGTGTAGATGACTTTAATAACGAAACAGGAGCTTGAAAGACGAATGAAACAAGTAGAGGTCAAGAGTTCGCGGTGAACATTGTCTCTGTTGCTTAAGTTGGATCGTCTTCGTGGACTCGTCTTATTTGCACAGAGCTAATTAAGCTACGAATCGTCGGAAAGTTTTGTCAAAGTACCGCAACGTCGCTGAGAGCTTAATATAATTTAATCAAATTAAACGACTCTTTTGCCGTTTAACGCAGTTCCAGGCTTTCAGGTTCAAATTACACCTAGAAAAATAAAGGAAATATCCGAAAAGTTTTCTAATATCATTAACGGGGAAACTCCTGTCTTTCGAATAAATATTAAAACCTCGATACCAAGTTCTCGTCGGATTTGCGAAATTGCGGAAGAGGATGTTTTTCAGACGGGGAAAAAGTACGTAAACGTGTTTTACGAGAGTACTCGGTCATCTAAGGATCATTAATTAACCGATGCCCGGTAGGTGGATGGTAGAAAAGAAGAGGAGCTGATAATTCGTGACGGTGATACAACGTTGAAGCTGTAATATCGGCTTACGAGGAGAGCGGACGTTCGATCCGGAACGTTGGTGATTACCCTGCGATTGATAGGCAAATAATTAGCCCAACGAGGACATTTCGATAACAATCCATCTGCGTCAGCCGCCGTTAGTTTCCGTGTTGCCTGTCCGGTTACAGGCGTTCATCAATCCTCTTCCTAACAATCACCAAGTTTCATGAATTCCTACAAGTAATCGTTCTTTTTTATCCTCTAAATAATGTACTCGAAAGGACAAACTTTAAACGTAACGTCGGAGATAAAGTTTCGATAGATGGTAAATTCTCGATTCCGTGAGCCGCCTAGCGAAACCGCACCGTTTAATTTTCACCCAACTTTGCGTCGTTTAATTAAACGACGAGCAATTGAACGTACGGCAAGGTCAGAGGTCCTTTGTTTCATGGCTTAACGGTAATGTGGTTTTGCATATAAATCATTTTATTCTCCGCGGTCCCGTCGTTAAAACAAAGCCGCGCATCAGATTTGTTACGCGGCAGCGATCAATTAAAGAATTTCTTTTCTCTCGAAATTCGTGTGTTTTATCTTCCCCTGATCGTTTCTTTTTTTAATATCGCGTGTATAATTCTTAATGGATCGTTCGATTCACCTTTGAATTGTTAATTTGTTCATTTGGAGAGCACAAGTGTATCACCCCGCAAATTGATGCAGATATATGACATGGGAATGGACTAGTCGAGTATCGTGGCCATTGTTAACAGGGCGACTGCCATAGGGGGTAGCCGTTGACAAGCACCTCTAATTTTGTACAACCGGATAGCATTAGCGTTTCGTTAATAATGCAGAAAGCAATTTGCAACGAGAGGAAAGGAGCCTTCGAATTGCCGTTTCACGAGAGCGGGAGTTAACTTTCGATGAATACGATTTAGTACACGCGAACGTGGAGGAAAAATCGAGCTAACGACACGGTTTCTACGGCTGGAAAAATTGTTCCAACGAAACGGAACAAATTTCCGTGGTGGATAGGTGCTAGAAATGAAGGAACAGCCAGGTAGCCGCGTATGTAGTTGGCCGATGGACGAGAACGGAGAGAAAAAAAAATGGATAATGAAAGAGTTCCGGTCTACCCGACCGTCGTAATTAAATCCCGTTTATCCTGATTGCGATCTGACGAGAAGAAGAGGCGAGGAAAAAAGTGAACGGCGACGAATCATCGGGAAATTCGTCAGCTGATTCGTAAACGATTCGATTCGCGTGCTACGCTGTTATCGGTGGAAATTCTCGTCGGGACGATCGGTTGAAAAGTAGAATGCACTCGAGCGAGTGAACGTCAACTCCTATTTACGGACTGATTGAATCCTGATTTCGCGATATCGATAAAAATCCCGATAAACGGCTTACTCCTCCTCCTAGGATAAATCATTCAGAACATTTTCTACCTCAACACCGAAAGTTACTTAATTAACCGTTCTAATTTAAAGCTGTAATACGTTTGCATCCTGTCATTTGAGAACTTAATGAACGTCTGGATCGATGACCGTCGCGTCGTGGGGGTTAAATTCTTAACACGTTGATTGCCACAGTGAAAATAACCCTGAGTGGTCAGACTTGGTGTAATTAATAGCTCTATAAAACCTGCTTAATTACACGTTACTTTGATTACTCTCGTGTCATTAAACGCGTTAATAGCATCGCTGTTATTCTTATAAGAACTCGAGAAAAATAGCTGGAATGGAAGTCGGAATTTTTGCATCCGTAGTCGGTTACCTTACCCATTACCCTTCTGTCACTCCACCGACATCTCTATTACCAGGATTCCTTTTATCCCTCGAACGGTGGCACGCTGAGATAGCGACAATTCAATTTTCATTTTACATTCTTTTTCATTTCGATCGTCGAATCAGTGGATCCGCTATTACGATACTGACCTGAGGGGGTCCGATTTAAGTCCCTTATGCTGGGTAATTAACGCGTTAACAAGACTCGGCATTCGGCCGGTTCGTTTTAAAAGGATATCAACCCTGATTCAATGGAGATCTAGGTGTGTAACGTTGCAAGGAGCGCAAATTACTCCGATTCAGAGCGCTCTGACCTCTCACCCCCATTGCAAAGTACACGGATCACGTAGAGGTCGTTAAAGGTACATAAAAGCCTAAGAAAAAGGGGAGAGCGAGATTACGAGTTCAATTGGAGTTTCACGAGAGAACAGTAAAGAGAGGAAGGAAAAAAGAGCCGGGAATAGAGGATATTGTAGCGGTGAAATACGAAATTCCCGACGAACCCTGGTAAATTTCTGCTTTTGTCGACGATAAATTACACGTTTCCTTTTGTCGCTTAATCGAATGAAAAATGAAAGACATTCGTAGCGATGGCAGTATCAATATTTCAACCGATCGGAACACAAGGGACATCGTTTCGTTCTGTATCTCGATATTTTTGTTACACAACGAAAGAAAGAGCAGACGGGTAGCAAATATCGGTTCGATGCTCGAAAAACGACCGATAAGAAACGTAGATAGTAATTCGTGTCTGTATTTTCCATTGTTCGTCAGATATTTGGACTTTTTATCGATATTTCAATAACAGCCTGCGTTATGTATTCGCTCCAATCACCGCCAATGTTTCGTTGATAATACGAAGTAACACGTTCGATAATTAAAACGAAAAATTGAACAACGAGCGAACGGTAATAAAATAAAAATCACGGGAAAATTTTATACGATATAAAAACAGCCGATTCTGTGAAATATTTACTCGGTGCTGCGAATTGAAATCTCTTCTTTTCAAGGGGATGTCGGTGAAAATGGATACTGGAAGAGAGCTAGTAAGGAAATTGTTGGACGTGTAATCATCTTTGGATGGGTAAACAGAGCGGTAAAAAGATTGTCGATCGGTGAACGACACAAAGGCAAACAAAGAGGATTTGCCGAGGGTTCTCGATTGACAGAGCTCTCAATGGTATCACCGATCGAGGTGTACGATCCCGAGCAACATAACGGCTTGCACTTGGTATTAGAGTAGAGAGAACCAGTGTGTAACCAGCGAGCTTTAGTTGGTAGCTTGAATGGCTAGCTCGCGTTAGGTCCTTTTCACACCGATCGAAGGTCTATCGATTTAACCCCGACTGCGTGGAATTCGAGAAATCTAGCGGTCGTGAAAATTAGACCGAGATTCGGCCGTAATTTCAATCGAAAATTACATCCTCGAAACAATTATCCCGACGACTAAGCTTTTCTCTATGCAGCACGAATTTCCTCGTCCATTATCTATGTTTCTAATTATCACCGACGCCTGCTACAATGGATAACATTGATAATTAATGTTATCGATGATATCGAAGATGAACAGTGGAAATGGCAAGTGAAATTTTAGAATCGTCTGATGGATAAAATGAATATTGTTGAACCGTTTGAAGCAGATACATTCGATATCGAAACGATAATGAACGGTGGAAAGACGCGATCAATTGCAACGTTTATTCGTCGATTTGTTATAACAAATTCATCGAATGGCTGCGAGCAACGAGGCGTGAGTCAAACGAACTGTTTACCGATGCAGCATCGCAATAATTAAGTTCGTTATTATTTTTATTGCACCGTAGTATTTTGAAATTCATGACTACCAATCGCTCGCTGAAATTACTCTGCTATTTTCGTTGCGAAATATCGAGATTAGAATTTGATTAAATTACATTCGATCGAAGCGTATTAATTAGGATTAATTGTTGCGATAATTACATTGAAATTGCCAGTTTTTGTTTTCCTCGCTCGAAAATTCTATTTTTCTTCCAATTAATCCTGAATTTTCGAGGAATCTTTACCCGGCCACAAAATATTGATACGTTTCACACGGATAAAGCAAAGTATCGAAAATGTTCGCTCGAGCGGAACTGTAATCGAATAGGAAATTTCAATCAAATAGAAGCAGAAACGTGACACGTCGAGCGAAGCGGAGCATGATATTCGTTCATAGCGGCAAATAGATGAAAGTATGGAGACAAATAGAGGAACACTGGAATAGGTGCTCTTGATTTAGGTGAAAACGGAAGGGAGGCTAGAATCTTGATGCAAACCTAACTCAAACCTAACCCAGATTTAACCTAGATTTAACCCAAACACCGAGAGATCTCGGAGAAGTGTAGGGCGAGGAAAGGTGAACGAGAAGGAGAGTAAGAAAGAGGGTTAGGGGAGAGAAAAAGAAAGGGAACGTGAAAATGGAAAGACGTAGACAGAGAAAAGTTGTAACACACAGAGAAACGTGGAATACAGAATCCGATCATTGGGAATCAGCGAAATACAGAGACACCACTTTACTTTTATCTTTCTTTCCGCAGGTCAGGAAGAAAACAATACGCTCGCTTCTTGAAAATTCAATTCAATTCATTTCCTATTCTATTTTAGATCGAAAGCTTTGTAAGAAAGAACCTTTCCTGCTTTTACCAGAAATATTTACGAGTATTTATAAGAACTTTGTAATTGATAGAAAAGCGCAACAGGCCTTCGAATCCTCCAACCGGAAGTAGTTTGCGTGCAATCACTGCCCAGACGGATAATCTATCAGATTACACGAGACAAGTGGAATTAACGGGTAGTTCTCGAAATGGCGATCGTCTCGAATCTCCTTCGCGGGGAAGAAACAACCCTATTAACAAACTTCTCCGCGATTATCATTCCTGCTTCTTGTTTCTCCACGGATCCTATCGAAGGGTACGAAGAAACTAATCACGTTTCTGACGTCGACGAGTTTCGTAAAAAATATCAAACAGCTGTTTTGTAATTACAAAGAGATCGTTTCGCACCCGTTCGGATATAGGGGATCGGGTCAGGGGTGTACGAACCCTTCGAAGGATTCGGCTTTAAGACACAGCAGTTTGCCCGGCTAGTTTTATCACCTTTTCGATTCTCCTCGAAATTGTTTCGATCGGCGTTACGAACGTACACACTGGTGGTTGAAATTCCAAGTTCGTGGTTATCAGTATCCAGCTCGACTTTCAGAAATTAAATCTTATGGACCGTGATCAATGATAGAGAATAAAGGTTTGCTTCGATTGAATTCGATGGAATTCGATACGTGGCGTTCAAGAGGGAAGGAATTTCTTTTTTATTCAAACTTTCGAGGAAAGTCGACGTTTCGAGTGGACTGCATCGTGTCTAGATTTTCGTTTCGATCGATCTAGGATTTTCTTTCTCGATTCAATTTTCGATTCGACCTTCTCTTTACGAGGACCGGATCAAATCGGATCCATCGGAACGATCCTTTTTTTAAATCGACCAACCGTTTCCCTCGGCAATGCCATTCGGCTTTCGTGAATATCGTTCCTCGCGATTCTTCTTTCGACAATATCTCGATAGGTATTAAAGTCAGCGTATCCTAAAAATCTTTTTCTATTTCTGAAGAACCGAAAGGATTCCAGTTTTAAACCCTCCCACTGGATAATCGTGTGTATTTTCAGCAAATAAAAATGAACCATCGATGTCGTATTCGTTCGACTTCACTGAAATACGTGACCATTTTTAGAACACTCTTACATTGACCATCGGTGCAATGTAGATATATCGATTTTCAGATTGTTCGGTTCAATTTCCAGCAAGCAAGGGGTGTTACAATAATCGTTGCACCCTCGAAAATATTTCCATTCTAAAGAAGCGGAATTTCTTTCTGTATCTTATATCCTTTCCAACGCTTCCTCGAAATCGAATCGTTCCGCTATCGAATCCGATTTGAATCAAGCGGCTCAATCTTGACGAGCAATTTCTGTGTCTCGTATTTTTCTCTGTTCCTTCTCGATCGAAAAGTACCGGCAATAACGATGTCGTTAACCCCGTGAAAATCGCATTGATGCAATTGAATTCTTCTCTTTATCGAGCAATAGCTGCTTGAATTGTTTCGAAGAATAGGAATGCTCGTAATATTGTGAAACCTCCTGACTGCGGATATAAAAAGCTGGAAAATGGACGAGAATACCGCGTTCGTACGTTGCTAAGACATTCATCAAGTATTTCGATCGAATCGTAGCGAAAAATTCCTGCTGTTCGAAGCACGGAAGAAATTGAATTCTTTGTGATTTTTCACCACCCTCCGAGTGTTTCGAACTTTTTTTGTTCGTTAAACAATCGGTGTTTTTCGAGGGGTGACTTCCCTCTCGATTTACTTTTTCTTCAGATGAAATCAATCAGAAGGTGGATCGAACAGATTGATCGACGCCACAGATTTTAGGATTTCAATCGATTATTCTTGATCGTCTCTGGTATTTAGGGGAAGAATCGACGAGTTTGACGCGTTTCCGAGGATCGGAATGTTTCAAGTTCCAGGGAAACTGTTTGAGCGAGGAAAAATTCAAGGCCTCTGCCCATCGGTCCCGTGGAAAGCAAACGGCTTGGAAACGTAAACGATGCACGGACGATTAAATTTCCTCGAGAACAGCTTCGGAGCACAAAGTCACAAACTTTTTACTTCTTCTCGCGATGTCGACGGGTTAGCGTGTCGTTCTATGTTCGAAGGATAATTTTTCGAAATTTCTTCACCGTCACTGCCGTGTCTTCCATAACACTTTCGTCGTTTCGCCGGGAAATCGAGTTCCCGCCGCAGAGAAGACATTCATTTTCTGAGCACGCTCTTTCTTCTCCTTCCTCGTCTTATTTTTCACCCGTCACACACGTTGCTCGGGAGGGTGCATTTAATACGTCAAGCTGATAAACAATGGATAGAACATAGCTTACGCGATTACGATCGTTCGCGAAGGAAATTAGCGCAATTAAGACGATAACGATCGAAACGTTTCGGGACCTGTTGCAACCGCGCAATCAATGTTCGCAGACTGCAAACATTTGGAGATTGATAAAGAGAGGTAGAGGGAAAAGCTTAATTAATAATCTCCAAAGAACTGAACCCTCTAAATCGTTCGGAGAAGAGGCTGAGACGAATTCGCCGAAGGCAGGTATAGAGAGATCGAAGAAAAACTGTAATCGACCTTTTAAATCGTCGGTGATGAACGAATTTGAAGAAGACACCTATCACGGGTCCGAAGAAAAAGATAATCGACGAGCCATTGAATTCGAAAAAGACGAGGATAATTGAAAATCTCCACGGTATACGCGTATCCAGGTAGCTCGACGAACTGAAATAGAAGGAGAAAAAGGCTGGATATCCCGAGTTGCTTAAAAATGTGAATTTTTCACCGGCGGTGATCAGTCACGGTCGATCGCGCGGAAAAGGTTCATTCACGATCGACGGGGCTATCAATGTTACGCGGGCAAACAAAGCGTCGGTCGTAAGTGGATCGAGAAACAAAGTTTGTTTGCACGGTGTAAAATCACTTTACGCTTGCCACCGTTGTAGAAGCCAATAGGGTGGCGGTTTGTCACAACATTCTCTCCTCTCGGCAAAGAGAGATCGAACGATGGTCGTTGGAAAAGTTCAATCGAAAGAGTAGAAAAACACTATAAAACAATAACAACTTGTCGTAGTCTCGGTATCCTCTCAAACCTAGACTTTCTCTTCTTATTCTTCTTGCTTTTCAACATTTCTTGTCTTCTTATCACTTTCTCGATCGGCAACCACTCTCGATTCGTCTCGCGAAACTAGCTTCCCATTCCGACGGACGTTCCACGATCACTTCCGATATTCCATGGATAGAGCGCGAAACAACGTGGACGAGAAACACAGATACAGACAGAAAGGCGAAAATGAAAATAAAAATAAAAAATGAAAAAGGACGTGTGATCATGCTCGAAGATATCCGTGCTAGTGTTTTCGTGTAGTTGAAGTAGCCGGACACGAATCGTTCTCATGCACGACAGGATTCCGAGGCGCACAATTCTTTTTCAAATATCGTTTCGTGTGTGTTCATGTATGTGCGTGTATACATACATATATTGAGTGGTATATATATGTATAGTCACGAATTTCGGCGGTCCGGTTCGTAGCGGAGAGAGCGTGCTGATGTTTCTAGGTAAGTTCGTTGCTCACCTGGGGTAGAATCATGACGTGCGGCAGCTGGCGCGCCTCGCCGCGCACTGACTCTTCCGCACCCCGAGCACAGCCTCCTTTCACCCTCTCCTACATCCCCTCCAACCCTCCAGTCTCTCTTTCTCCAACGTACAGCATCCACCACCATCACCGCCACCCTCTTTATCCACCTGATTCCTACCCTCTGTAACGTTAGTCCTGTTACCTCGACGAAAAAGCAAGGAAATCGGACAACCACGGACTCGACAACGAGACCCGCTGCTGTTCTTGCTGGCTTTTGCTTCTGCTATACTTCGTCGTGTTTCAGACGATACTGTTCGGTTATTTATGCGAAGCAGCAGGTGCTCGTTACTTTTGATCCTACCCTCGACTAACGCTAATGAGAATTTTTGCATTTTTCTCTTCGCGACGCGACTGGTTGCTTGAAAACCAACGAGAAGAATGTATGGAGATATTCAATTACGAATCGAGCTCGCGGTGGATCGATTTCTTATCTCGTTGTTATTCTAAAAATTCTTATTTAACTTGGTCTGAATTTTTTACGATACGGTAAAAAATCGTCTTCTTCGAGACAAGAAGTAAGGATCAAAGCGTAATCAGGACAGTTTTTCACGAGGCGTTTGATCAATTTTTTTGTCTTCCACCCTTGTAACAGCGACAGGGTATATCGAGGAGTAAATTGTCTCGTAATCGCGTCACCTTTAATCACCGTTCGTGAATGATTCGATCGGTGATATTACACGATACACGCGTACGAGCTTCGTTAACTGCCTTCGCTTAATTGTGTTCCCCCTCCCTTATAGGCGCGACGTACCTTCGAGGCGAGAACAAATATTTCCACTGTCGACTAAATAATTGCGAAATAATGCGGCGATAATGAATTAACGAATTAGTGATTTCGAACGGAAGCAGAGAAAATCAACGACAGAGCACGGTCTCTGTAAATTATTCTGAATAATGATAACGAGAAACTAGAAAAACTAAAAATAACGAAGAGTATCGTTATTTACTTGAACCGCGAAGCGAGCCTCTGATATGTAAACACCCTTGGCGCGACTTACAATACAGCCGCTTCGAGCCTGCTTTGTTTTCGAAATTCAGTTGTGTATCGCGTTCCGAAATGATAACACCATCGCGTCGCGTCCCGTCGCTCTAATTCATCATTGTTTCTTGCTCGTTTTTTACCGCGCGATGGAAAAGTGCTACGGTGATTGATTTGTTCATCCAGTTTAGTCGGCGGAATTTTTAACGAAAATCTACTTTCCAGAAGGAGAAGGCGGAGGCAACGTGTCTGGAAAGAAGAAGAAGTAATTCCCTCTGCGAATGGTGAGTTCGTTTATTCTTGATGTATTAACTTCTTAGCTAATAGACGTTTTTATGGACCAACACTGGCGAGCAAAAGCTTAGTATTTTTAAGACATATTTTCACCGACGACTGTGTAATTATTTTATGATAGAAGTTCTTAGTTTAATTTATTAAATTTCACGCTAGCGAACGTGTTAATGAATGGAAGAAAAAGAGGCTGGGGTGATTTCTTTTTATCCACGATAAATCTGTATCTCCCCATCCGAATCACCCTAGCCCTCTCTTCTCGTCGAGTGACAAATAAATATGGAAACGTACTCTTTTTTTTTGTCTTTCTACGTATATCGACACGTATATGCTCTTAGAAAAACGAGACGGTCGTTCGGTCGACAGATTCGTTCGCTAATACAGAGGGGAAAGAGAGATTCTCCTGAGAACATAATTTCGTATATATTTGCCTGAAACTATCGGTAAAACGATTTCGGGTGTTGCCTCCTTAAAATCGGCGCGTTTAAAAAAAGGGTGAGCGACGAAATCGAGAGGGTGGATGAACGAGTTTAGAATTTTTTTTACACGAGAAAGCAACGATGGTTGTATTTCTATTTCGCGATCGGAGCTCGAGAGGAGAGATTGAAAATAAGGATAAGGATTGATAGGAGCGATTTGTAATAGGGGTGAGTTTAATGACGCGCAGAGTTCTTTACGTTTAATTGAACGATCGATCGGGGTAGTGAATCGAGATTAAGATATCGTTCGCAACGAATCCTCGCGACAGTGTGACTAAGCGACCCTCGACGGACCCGATGTTTCACCGAAGTTTTATCGAGCGAAAATTTCAACGTTCCGCTCGAGGTTAAAATAATTTTTTATTCGATTCGAATGGATGGGAACAAAAAATGGGATAAATATCTTTTATTTGGCGAACGTTAATGCACGGTCAGCCGGAGAAAATAAGGTTGGTCTTGGAAAATTTTAGTGGAATATAAATTTCCTTGGCTGAAAATGGAAAATTGAAACGCTTTCATATACCGGGAACGATATTATTTCATTTCGTCGATTTAATGTACGTCGCGTGAAAGTACATTCTTTGAGAATTTTAATAAAATTCTTGTTCTTTCGTGTACGGGAAACATCATCAACGGAGTCGCGCGAATTACGATGATCGAATTAAAGGGAAGCATTTTCATTGAAATACTTGGAGCCGGTAAACGCGATATTGCCGGGTGGAGAGGTCGAACGAGGGTGGGCCTAAAGGACACACGCGTAAAATGAGAAATTTCGTTCCGACCCTCTTCTCGTCGTTTCATCAATTTTTCGAAAACACAACTTTCATCGTATAATCCTTCGAATGAATTTAACGGATAAAAATTACAGCTGCTTCGTTAAAAGGGTTTCCGCATCGTTCCGAATGATACTTGGGTGTACGTTACCGGGACGAGTATTTCTTTCATCCTTTAATCCAGGCTGCATTTTATTCCTGTCACGTAAACCAGTGGAAAGCGAAAGAATTAATAGCCCTGGATAAGTAAACAAATGCGGTACTGCAGAATATTCTCTCCGTGATAAATTAATTTCATCGATTCGATTCGTTTTACTTTTTCTTTCATTTATTTAACTCGACCTCTATTTACTCGATGTTCTTCTGGCTAGCATTTTTTTTTTTCAACTTTAACGATTATTGCTTTACCTCTTTTACTGGCAAAAAAGTTCCCTTTATTGCAGCTATGATGCTTTTATTAAACCCGTAGAAATCTTTAGTTGATAAATACTGAAAGGGATTCTAACCCGTTTACAGATACGCTACTTTCGATGGTAAAAGTCTTTTAAAGAAAAACGCTAATCCTCTTTCAGCGAGTCGGTCGATTAGAAAAAGGGTGTCGTTTTTAAATGAAGTCTACCCTTTCGCGGGTACGAGAAAGAGAATCATAGAAGGGTGAGAGAGAAATGCGTTGAACCTGTTGCACCTCTCGAAAAGAAGCGGAGCACCCCTGACGCGAAGTCGATGCACAATTCCCGACAATTCTTTCCCCTTTGTATTCTTCGAGACAGTCAGAATTCAACAGAAAATTTGTCTTTTCGCATTGTCACGGTAGATCTACTTTCTGGCTCGATCTTCTGGTAATTCCGTCGGAATGAAACGTGGACGCGTTGTCTTCTGATAAATTGCACGTTATTCGTAAAGAATAGCTAAGAGAGAGAGAAACAGAGTTAACTCATTTAAGACAGTGCAGCTTTTATTATAAGATGAGTCCCGAGAGTAGGAATTCTTCTTCTAGTTATATATCACCTTATTCTACTGATTACATAAAGCACGGACCATTTGACAGGCTCGTTTTTCATTATAAATTCAAATTAATATCAGTGTTTATAGCTATTTTTTCATCTTTGCCGTACCATTGTTGTTCCTTCTCGAAATTTTAATCCTGACAAGATGGAAAGGTAATTCTCGCCCGTACCTTGCGTGAAATTTCACTTTACTGAAATTCAATCGATCTAAAAGCGCATCGGGACTGGTGAAGCTTGATAAAATTCCAATTGTAGCACTCGGAGCATCCGCGAGATTTCAAGCCGACTTCTTACATACTTTTTGATTTCGACTTTTTTTCTTATTCTTCCCTGGGAAATTACTTTTCTACTTCCGAGTACGAATCCTTTTTCTCTCGTTATCCGATAACGTTTCAAGAAAGTTGCTTCGCGCGTTTCTATTTTTTTGTAATCTTCGATTTGCAGGATGAAACTCGTTCGATAAGGTTTGAAAATTCTATCCGAAAGAAACAGTCGACGTTAGGGGGTTAAAGTTTCTATTGAAATTCCGCTCGGAGCCTCTTTCCGAACGATGTAATTTCGCGAAATTACACTGGACGATAAGCGATCGGGAGAGCGAGTGTTTTTCCATCAAGAGGAGAAAATATGTCGACCGTGTGTGCAGATAATCAGTTTATCCCGGCATGCTTGCCCTATTTCGCATATTATGACCGACTGTATGCTCGACAGGGAGCCTCTTATCTGCCAGCCCGTCAACCCGCGACTAATTCAACCCCTCAGTCTGCTGGCTTACCTTATCTCCCTCTAATCCAGTCCGCCTCCTAAAATTCGATGAAAAGTAAACGGCATTACTTTCCTTCCATTTTATTTCTGACTCGAAGGAAAAAAAATGGCAGGCGAAAGGAAAGGGCAAATAGTAAGTTTAAAGTGCGCGACGAAGAAACAGAGGGTGATGAATTGTTAGATAAACACACCTTTCAAAGGTTCTTCTATTAATGGAAATGTCAAGACTGTTGTTTTTCGCATCGTTTCCTGGAATTTCCTGCGATTTCGAGAAGAAACGATCGATTTCTAACTCTCTTTCAAATACATTTCTACGCAACTTATTGTTAGAATCGTTTGGAAAGTAAGAACCCCTTAGGTCACGCAGGAATTTATCGTTACTACCCTTAAACGGCACTTAGTTTTCGAAAACCAGCGAGCCTCCCAGCTACAAGGGTGTAATTCTTTGCCACTACAAATTACCAGATTCATTTCTCCCCCTCTGGGGGGCCGTTTCGACTCTCGTAAGAAGATAGCATCGCTTCGTGGAAAGTATGGCGGTTCGCTTATAATTCGCAAGCCCTTCGAGAACAAATAAAAACTCCCACGCGATATCCTTAATGCTTTTATTTTACTTTCTCCTCGAG